AAATTAGGCGCAGTGGTATTCATTGAAAAATTATTCAGACCACTCGAAATGTTATTACAGTTTCACACAGTAACACTTCCTCTTACTGTAACCAAAAACCTTATGGAAACACGTGATGAAAGGGTATCGAATCGTGGCGATAAGGTGCCGGGCGGTCTCGCCGTTGGCGCCGACCTGCCTCCCGCCTCAAGGCGTTTTTTTTTGTCATTTTGATGTCAGCGACTGTGTACAGTTGGGGGCCGTCTGGACAGTTCTTTTTTCCTCTCTTGTTTATTGGGTGTGACATCAAAACGTCTTTTTTGCTTCTTTTCTTCCCTTTTCAGTGACTTGGGGGAGTTCAAGTCTTTTTGCAGTTTCCTCGGTTACTGTAGCTCCGAACTCCGCAATCATCCTCTTTCTTTGAATTTTGGGAAAATAGCGGGATAAGCAAAAAAGTTATATTTTGCATTGGGTTACTGTAGCTTCCAAGTCCGCACTTCTTATTTATCTTCAGAAGTAGTTCTTTGAGGATAGTCGAAGAAAGAGCGAAATATGATTTTAGAGGGTACTGTAGCCGCGAAGTCCGCAGTTTTCTAACTTCTGATGATGATCAGTTAAAAGGATTTGGGAGTTTTTCGGGTTACTGTAGCCATCAAGACTGCATTTTCATAATTCTGAGGCTTACTGTAACCAGGAAATACGCAACTTGAAAACAGTGTGAGAAATCATGGATACTTCATTGATTTTCTCTATGCTCCATGTCGATTGAATCAGCCAATCAGAGGTCTAGTTCACTGGCGGCGCACTTGTAGTATTGGATACCGCTCTAAGTGCTCTCCGACTTTGAGTGTCAAGTCGAAGTCTCGAGAGATCCAAGTGCGAACTTGATTCCTGAAGAGATTGAGGTTTGAACTTGGTTTTACTTCTGAAGTTTCAGCATTCTGATTAAATTTGCTCTTCAGAAGGTTGTATGAAAGATTGTATTTCTTTATTTTTGGTTGGAATTTTTAGTTTTGGATCAATTTGAGAAGCAGTTGCCTTGAAGACGGCTCAGCTACTTTGAGACGCGCCGGACTAAAAACGGCTTGCGATCTCGGGCTTTTTCACGTGATAATCCTGACCTCGACAGCGGTAAGAGGAGAGAAAAGAGAGCTCAGACCGGTCAGAGAAACTCACGTCATTTTTCTTATGCAATACTGTGAAGATACTTTGGAAGGAACGACTCTTAAAAAATCGTAAATATGAAATTTTCTCGGCTGTGGGACAGTTCGAAAAGGGCCCGATTTTTAGAAAAGAAATATTCGAAAATCCTAAAATTGATAGGTAATGAAAGGGGATGTCCCAAAAAGGCCTTATTTTCGCCAAAATGTTGTGTTTTGGTCACCTTGTGGTTCGTCTTCGGAGGTTCGCGCCGGTCCTCCGATCCGCTCTATTTCTCGGCCACCCTCTCGATCCAATTCTCCCTTTTCCGTGAGCGTCGGTGAGCGTGTGAGGGTCGCGTTTTACGAGCATGAGTGTCCCCTCGGCCACGCCCACTTTTGCTGCTGCGCTCACAACTTTCGCTCACTCTCCAAACACCCATCCGCGCTCATCCGAACAACCCAGGGTCTCTCCATTTTTTCTGTTCTTTTTGTCCATTTTTATTCCTTTTGGAAGGCTTGGCAACCTGCCAACTGCCTCCGGCTCCAATTTGATCCCTTTTGATGCGTTTTGATGGGGTTTAAAGTGGGGAAACTCCCCATTTTTTGAATGGATTTTTGGGTTTTTGGAGGTTCTTTATTAAGTTTTAGCATATTTTCATGTGAATAGGGCTTGAAGTAGGCTTTTTTGACTTCCACAAGATATTTTGGAAGTTTTTTCGTTTCAAAATTGAATAGTTCAAGTCGATGAAAATTCAAATTTTTAAAGGAAACTTGAATTTTGGAAAAAATCCTACTTTTTTCAAATGTTTTCTAAGGATTCAACGTCCAATGATATTAGAAACCTTTTTCGATTGTAACTATGCGGTTTTATCCAAACTTTGAGCCATTAAAATGAGAATTGAACCGAAAAATCTTGGATTCCCACGGCTATTGATTATGAAATTTCACACAAATCGACATTCTTGGGCCTCTTCTCTATATCAAAAACTCGTAAAACCATCATTTCACGCCTTTTTTGAACTTTAAACCTTTTCGAATTGCTCAAAATGAAGCGTTTTTGACCTTTTTTTTCTTCAAAGACAGCTTCGTTTTGAGCATTTTTTGATTCTTATTCAAAACTGAGCCAATTCAAAATAATTTTTGAATCGGTTCATTTGAAATTTGAACATGAATTCAGTGATTTTAAAAAAAATTGAACGTAAAATTAGCTTCCATACGGATTTCAAACCATTTTTCCAGGCCCTTAACCGATTCCATGGCTGGTTTGTGACTTAAAGTTGTAAAATGACGAGATTTCTCAGGCCTCAGACCACACTCCACATACACACAAATACACAGACACAGACAGCGCTGGCTTTTCACTACGGGGTCGGCCCATTCGCGATGGGGCGCACTTGGGACAAAACACTCTTTTCAAATGATCTCCCGCACTCTTTCTTTCTAACTTCACGTTGCTTTTTCGAATCCAACACGTTCAAAGTTCAAAGTGTTCCGAACAGAATCCTGAATTTTCAATTCGCTTCGTCATCAAGAAGGTTTTTATAAATTTTCAGTTATAAAGCTTGTTTTTTTGTAGTTTGGCTACTTTTTCGAGATTTTTTAAGACTGATAATTATTGAGAAGAAGAAAAAGCCCTTTTTTCTCGAGAAGCAGGGATATTAAACTTCGTTTTCACTTTTTTTCAAACTTGTCACCTTTTTAAAATTCATTTTCGATTCCTATAAGGATTCATTGCAAGATAACAGCTTTTGAAGCTTTTCACATCTTTTCATTTTTCTTAAAATAGCTGAAAATCATTAGAATGCGATGATACAATTTGAGGCTATGAAAAAAGGATCGAAAAAAAAAATTTTCTTGAAAAATCACGATTTTTACCTCATTTCTAAAAAAAAAACCTCGATTTTTAGCTCTAAAACGAGCTAAAAACCTTCCGGAAAGCCTGCAAATCCCGGAGAACCCACGTTTTTTTTTCCTCTTCCGACCTTTTTTTTTTCTTTGTTATCGTGGCCGTCACCGCATTTTGAGCGCTTGGCTGCTTGCCCAACTCCGCTCACACTCGCACACAAACACTCATACTCAAAACCGAGCCATCGATTCGTTGCGCGCAATTATTGTAAATATATTCCCGAGGGGTCCAGGCATTTTACCTTTCCTGAAGGGTTTTGATGGGTTTTTCAGTTTTGAAGCCAATTTTGACGAATATTTCAGCTATTTTTGATGAAAACTGTGGAGAAAAAAGTCTAAGAGATCAATTTTTCGGTCAAATTGATAAGTTCCTGTAAATATTTATGGGATTTTTGACCCCCATGAGTGTGAATTTGTGAATAAAATTATGATTTAATTTTTTCAAAGCTTACTTTTTTTGGTTTTTTTCTCTGGGTTTTCAATCAGAAATTGTAGAAATTGGATTAATTCCTCTAATTGATTCTCTTCTTCCATGGTAATTCCAAGGTTTAGAAAAATTTTTTCTCATTTTCGATCTCGGATCCTTCAACTTTAATGTCTAATGTTTAATTTTCCAAAAGGTTGCAGACAAAAATTTCTTCTTTTAATTAGTCTATTAATTAGAATCAGCACAAAAGTACACGATTTCTGGTCATTTCTATTGCACTTTTTCATCTCAATATCCTGCAAAAAGTCGCCTTTTTTTCAGTTTGATCTCCTAGTAGTATTCATCCCGTTTTTGGTCAGAAAAAGTCCTTTTTGCAGCGGTCGGATTAGCCCTCAACTCATAATCCCGGGGCTTAGTCGAGTAAATGAGAAAGTACACATGGTTCCCCCGTTGTTTCGACCTTATATCATCGAAAAAAATAGCTTTTTTTCTTTCATAATTAGTTGGGAAAAACGGAAAAATTGGACACTCTGAAGTGTAGGGTGGCAGGAAACCTCCTCGCGGTTCGATTTTTCCCCCACCGCGAGGCCCTCTTTTTCGTCTTTTTTCGTTTTTCTTTTTCTTTTTTTCCTCGAGTGGATCTAAATTAATCGTATCTCAAACGAATAGTTCACTTTTTTGCGGTATAAAACTTTAGGAACGGTTGAACATTTTTTTTTGAAAGTTATTCGAATTTTTCTCATTTTATGCTATGCTTCATTGCTTACATTGCAGAGTCTAACCATTTTTTCCCTCGGAATCAAAAAAAAAATATTAATCCAAAAGTTTAATGGTTCTGGAGACGAATCTTCTTCATTTTCGAAAAATTAATCACAAATTTAATGAAAAGTTGTTTACCGACTATTTCGAAAAATTTCCTTTGGTTTCCATTAAAAAAATATCCCTTTTTCTCGAAATTCGAAATAGATTTTAAAATTTCCTATAACTAAAAAAATTTTCGAAATTTAAATTTTTTTTCTGAAAAATTAATTCATACATGAAATTGCTGTTGATGCATTGGAATATAAAAAAAGTAGGGGCTTTTTTTGTTTTTTTAGTTTAACATCACGTTCCATGTTTTCAGAAATACATTAGAGTCGAATCTAATAATTTTTAACAAGGTTACTTGAATTTTGGGAGTTTTGGAAGCCTGTTTCAAAATCCATGCTTTTTTGAAGGCTCCTAGCTCTTGAATGCCTTAAAATATCACTGAAAAATCTCTTCGCCTCGAGACCTTTCTTAAATTCCTCCATGCTCCTTTAAACTTTCGAGAACCTCTGTCACGATCAAACTCTATTCGGCACCAGTTTTATGAATTTTTTTCAGATGCTGGGTTGAGAAGCGGCGAAACGGCATCCAGAGCCTGCGCCAGGAAAAAAAACGACGAGAAGAGAGAGCCGAGTCGAAAACTGGGAACGGCTGAAGAAGAAGAAGAAGACGAGAAGTAACAACTTGCGTCCGTTCGCCACCTCGGACCAACGCATTTTACGGGTAGCCGCCCAGCAGACATGTTGAGCCGGCACATGCGCGACCTCCGCGTCGACGACGGTTCTTTTTCCCTTCTTTATCGGAAAAATGAGAAAAATCCATTGAGATCTTTAAAAGATGGCACTTTATACTTTCTTATTGTTCATACTGAGGCTTCGGTAGGTGTTGAGAAGGTAACCAGCGGGAGGTTGGAAGGTGAAGGGAAGCTAGAATTTTTTGAGAAGGGAAGTGGAAGCTAGAAGTTATTGAGAAGGTTTTCAGAAGGTAGTGGGAAGCTCTTTGAAAGGTAAAAAAGGAAAATACCTGCAAGAAGCCTTCCAGCAGGTCTCTAGAAGGTAAATAGAGGTGTTGGGAAGATGGAAGGCGTTTGACCACTCACTGGAGAGCTTTCAATTGACATTTTTTCAATAAAAAGTGAATTTTCATAGGTCTGGAAAGGTCCAGATGAACGGATATTAGTGTAATACTAATAAATGACTGTTTTCTACAATTTCCGTGATTATTTTTGACCTAAGAAATTATCGCATGATGCTTAGATTTTTCGAATTTCAAAAGAGCTAGAAGACAAAATTAAAAAGTACCGGAATCAGTTTGAAAGCCTTAATTGAGTTTATTAATGTTCAAAAGTCTTCGAAAAGTTGTTTAAAGAAGGAAAAGCCTTCTATGACCTCAAATTACACTGAGAATGGCTCTTCGTTTCGAAATCTTCTCAAAAATCTCCTAAGTCTGTTCACCGTGACTTGACAGTTTTCGTGTGTCTGCGTCTCTCTGTTCTCTAACCGGCGAGATCACAGAAACGAGAAAATAGCACGTGGAAAAGAGAGGGTCGTCGAGAGACGAGGAGGGTGCAGAGAAGTCGCGAAAATCGGACTATACCGGTTTTGAATAGTTATCAGAAGTGTTAAAATGAGAAAAAAAAATAACCTCGTACTTGAAAAATAAAAATGTATCACTTGAGTAAATTTATTTTTATTGTTCTGACTTTTTTCTACAAGCATTCTGTAGCTTCCCTCGTTTTCACAGTAAACACGGAGAAATAAGAGAAAAAAATAAAGACATAAAGTTGCCGAAGACGTTTCTCTTCCGCTGCCAAAGTGGCTACCTATCCGGCGGCGAGATCGAGATCACAACGATTGATTATCGTCTAGACGAAATCGAAATCGTATCCCTTCAAAGCGCCCCGCCAAAATCTTTATTGGGGCCTCCGTGGAAACGAGAAAAGTAGGAGAAGATGGAAAAAAAAAGAAGAAGAAGAAGAAGAAAAGAATAGGTGCCCCCTTCATTTTTCCCTCGCGTCGTAAACAGCCGACAGACCTTCCCCAGACATGTAAACATTCGACAAAGCATCGACAAATAGGCATTTGATGATGATGAAGACGGGGTGATTGAGAGGAATCGGTTGTTGGAACGGTTCCAAGAGGGATCCGAACCGTTTTGGCTGGGTAAAGATTGCTTTTTGGAGGTTTTTCGGGGCTTCTATATAAACCTGCAGCTTTGAAGCTGTTTTTGAAGTGAAGCTTTAAAGCTCTCTCTTAAAGAATTCTTGTAAAGTAAAGTCTAGATCAATCGGAAGTTGAAATTAAGGTTGATCAGGAGAATTTTCGAACAAAGCTTCATACAAAAAATCGAAAAATAGCCATTTTAGCAAGTTAAATAGGTTTCCAAATATTTTTTGCATGAAAAATGTTTCATTAGTTAATTTTTGAGCTCAAAAAAAAGTAGATTTTTCTCTATTTTTTTCCGTTTAAAAATCGTCTGAAAAAAATTGAAAAATTCACTTTCCCAGCCCCTGATTAAACCTGAACCTTCATTGATTGAGATTTGATATTTAAAAAAATTTTTCAGAAAAATTTCGGAAAAAGTTTGGTTTTTTTCTAACAGTGAGAAGTCTGAAATACGATTAAGAAATTTAACGGCGAAATGGAAAAATAAACAATTTTTAACTCCTACAAGAAGGGCCTTAGTATAAGATTTCCAATTATTTTTGAATAAATCAATCAAGCACATAAAAAAATATTCAGTTTATTCTTTTCAGACGACCCCGAAAGACAAAAGGGACGTCGGAAAAGCGCCCGTCTTAGCAACAGACAAAATGCCACGGTTTGTTTTCAAGTTGGCGAGAAAAAGATAGAACCGACGATTTCAGGAGGAGCCACTACACGACTCCGGCACAGAGTCCGACGAGGAGGAGATGGAGTCGATTGCAAGGCATCGTGCGGAAAACGGAACAGGTCGGTTGCAGATCTATTTCGAATCTTTAGTGGAACACAGTAATGATTTCGAAGGTGAAAATAAACTGGTAGTCGAAATTTTTTTAGCGATATCAAAAAGCGCAAGTAGGTTTGGGTCGGGTGCAGTCATGCAACCTAAGGTACTCTTAAAATTAGCAAAAAAACATCTGAAGTAGCTTTTGAAGTACAATAATAGGCCAATGCGATTTTAAAAATGGAGCTAGTTAAAGGAAAAAAAATGATAACAAAACCGCGACGCAAACGCTACGCGTCGAGCCATTCCCAATGCGACCAGAAAAGTGGATATTTTTAACTTTAATAGAAGAAGGTTGACCGCTACGCAACCAACAATTCCCAATGCGACCATAAAGATGAGATTCTCAACTTTAATCGCAGAACCTTTCCTCTTTAAGCCATTTTCAGTGCGGTCAAAAGTTTGAAAACATTACCCAAAACAGGAAGCGCCGAAAGCGCATTGAGCCATTCCCGATGCGACCGAGAAGCTAGAATTTTAATTTGCAATGAAGCAAATTATCGGCAACCTCTGCACATTAGCCATTCTCAGTGCGACCAAAAAAAAAATTTCTTTAAAAGTGTAAAAAAGCAACCGCTACAATTCTAGCCATTCCCAACGCGACCAAAGTAAGAAACTTCAAACCGCCTTCCCCGCGTGTTAATCTGCAAACACCGATACGGTCGTCGGCACACACAGAACTATTGTGACCTCAATTTCCATTTTTTTTTTCTCTTCAGTCGAAAATTGCACTAATAAAAATGGCCTCGGTGTGGATCAAAGACCTCGAGGAAAAGGTAAATATTTTTCGGCGGATGGAGGAAGGCCTAATGGCGCAACAACCGTGGCCGAAGACACTTCTCCACGGGGGTGCGAGATTGACCTGCGGCTGGCCTCGGCCATTGTTCTATCTCGCCTCCGTTTCCGTGTCTCCCGGCCACTTATCCGCCTTCGGATGACGTCGGGGACCGGCAAGAATGGAAATTTTGAACTGTCGAGTGACTATAAGGCACAAGAAAGTTATCTGAAAGGCTTCGTCTGCCTTGAAGAGGCCTTGAAGGACTGGAAAAGTTGGCAAAAAGGGGAATTTTGGACGACGAAGTGACAATAAGACACAAGAAGCTGGATTAATCAATAAATAATCTGAAAAGGCTTCGACATGTGGTCTGCCTTTAAAGGAGTCGAAGGGACTGGAAAAGTTGGCAAAAAGGGAAATTTTGAACTGTAAAATGACAAAAAGACCCCAAGAACTGGAGAAATCATTAAATCAAGGCTTCGACAGCTGGTCTCTCTTCAAAAGTCTTCTGAAGGGACTTTAAAAAACGACAAAACTGGAGTTTTTAGACTCAAAAACATTTGAATAAGCTTCAAAACTAGTGCTTTAAAATTTTTTTAAAATATAAACTTTAATACACCTATGACACTGTTAAAATCTTGAAAAAGTCCTAGAATAGCAAGAATAAAAAAATTCGTTTGCGTGTCTTCTGGTCGCTTACCCACCTTCAGAGAAATTCCAGAATTACTGGGAAAACTTTTAGTGGCCACTATAGAGGCTCGCCAAGGACTACTTGGAGAGGACACTTAAGTGGTCACTAAACCCACCTCTATAGTGACCACTATTTTCCGTTTTAGTGGCCACTTCAGTAGTTTTTCATCCAGTATTCCTTCCAGTAACTCTGATAATTTTGAAACAAACAGATTGGACCAGTTATGTTGATCAATTGACCCCTAAAGTGGCCACTAACTTGACTTCTATAGTGACCACTAAAAATTCTCCCAGTAATTTGAACGATAAGAACTTTTAAAGGCGCAAGGGCAAAACTCATGAAAAAACTGTTTCTGAACGCTTACTCCAAATTTCCATGATCCTTGTTGGTTTCAATTTTCCACGAGGTTATTGATGCCCCTTGCAAAATGACGCTGATAAGACGATTACGGTAGATAAGGGAATTCGAACCGGTTTCGGCCGAAATTTCTCGAAACGGTAGCCTTCTCATCTTGAGATGATAATGATTTTTGTCAACTCGGCGCTATTTTTCAGCCTTGGCAGACAGCCACGCGTTCTCTTTTTCCTTCTTCTTCTTTTTTTTTCTTTTTGGTGTTGATATAAGATAAGCGGTTTGGCGCACAAACACACACGATAACGGCCTTGCCCCGAAACCAAATATTTTTGAGATTGGTTGGAAAAAAAAATAATTAAAAATTGGGTTGATTTTCGAGAGAGAAAGTCAATTTTTTCCAGAAGTTTCGCTAGTTTCTCTGAGGGAAAAGTCTCTTTTTGGTCCTCTAAATTAGGCTCGTAATCTTTTCAAAAAATTAATTTCTCGCTGTCGAGGATCTCCCTGACGGAATTTATCTTCAGATCCATTCGCGACCTGGCAGAGCTACGAGCAATTTCTGAACGGCGGAAGTCCACCGGCCCTCTCGGCAAGTCCGCCAGTTCCTCGTGACGTCGACACGGAAAGGTACACGTTTACAAGGGGATTTTTCAGCAGAAAATTGAAAAAAGTCGAATTTTGGTAGCTTGTTTCAATGTCAACCATGTTGCAAAAAAAATAATTTCAGAGGTCTATCTTGCTGACAGTTGAATCTTTTAGAAAATGAAATTTTTTGGAAATTTGAAGCTTTGGTATTTTATAATGATAATGTGTCATTAGAAAATGTAATCTAGAAAAAAATAAAATCAAAAAAATCAAATAGTTCATTCTTTTTTTAGGAACTTTTCCTCATTGAGATTTGTGTGTAGTTTGATTTTCGGAAGGGCTTTGAAATTCCGGATGTCGGTTGTGTGGAGCTTTTCTGCGTGATTAAATAAGTAGTCTGGACTATTTTGGGTCATGTGGCACTTTGAAACTCGCTTCACTTTTTCATCGCGTCTCTAAATTGAATAATAACCGGGAAGTTTCAATCCGTTGTCCATGTTCTTGAAAAATTATTATTTCTTTCCGAGAGAATGGAGAAGTTTCTGATGAATCAACATAAATGATGGACTTTGCTTCCAAAAAGCCGCCAAAGCCAGATTTTTGGAATTCCATCTTTGAAATTTTGTTCAAATCACTCGGGCAAAGTCGGAATGGTCGATAATGGCCGCTTAAAGGGAGAGGGTCAAAAAAGGCCCCAGAAAGGCCGCAAAGAGAGTCCCTTTGTCGAGCCTTCCATTTTTTCTGGGATTTTATAGGCTCAAGAAATAGTGAAAAAGAGAGAGAGGCAGCAAAAATGGTACAAAATAGCCGATGAAATGGCCCAAAGAGGCAGCAAAAAGGGAGCCTTGGTCACCCTAAAAGGAACATTGTTATGCACCCTTCCCGATTTCGCCATTGAGAAAAATCATTGAGTAAAACTTAATCTTATCAATCAAAATCTTGATTTATTTTTTTGATTTCTTGTTTTTCTTGACATTGTGTTCCAAGGGTATAAATTCCGAATTTTCGATCACTTTTTCATTTATTTTTTCGTCATAAATCATCAAGAAGATGGTTTCCTGTATCTGATTCAATTTATAAACATTAGAAAACCCTTATTCAATGTTTTCTCTCCATTTCTGTATTTTATAAATAAATGAAAATTGAGAAAATGGTCGGTTGACCTCAATAATGTGTGTTGTGTTAGTTGAAAATTGGGGGTTCGGTAATTAATCTCCTTGGTGCATGCACTCTACGCCAAAGTGCATATCAGCCGAGTCTCGTGACTACCGTAACCCATATCGGCGGTTTCGCAGAAATGGATAAAAAAAGAAGAAGAAGAAGAAGAAGAACGCCTCGGGGAGCGAAATCGGCCATCCATCTTGCGTCGCTTATCGCCCTTGCGGACGACGAACAAACGTGCGTGGCAAATTTCGAGGCGTCTCGTCTTGTCTTTTTCGGTTTTGGTTTTGTATTGAGACGAGTTTAGGGAGATGTTTGGGAATGGTTTAGAGAAACTTGGGATGAAGCTCCGAAACTTTAAAAAATAAAGAAGGTGAAATCTTTGGGGAGGTTTTGCTATCGAGAAGGGTTTCAAGGTATTTAAAAGACCTTTTCAAGATTTTGAGAAGCTTTGTGGTCTAGAAAAAAAGGCCTAGAAAGTTGCAAAGTCGTTTTTTTTTTTTGGTTCTGCTGGAGGAGTAATTTTATAAATGGTTTTAAGACTGTAAAGGTTTCTCCCTTCTTAGATAGTCTACATTCTTGAATCTAATTCTTTCAAAAATGATATTCGGAAAGCTTTGGAGACTCATCCTGTGGACTGGTAATGCTATAAGAATATTGAAAGACTTTTCAAATCACGTCCTTAAGTTTATCCTTGTAAAGAGGTTAATCAAACTTCATTGAGGCGTTCAAAATTCACAATTTCCTCATCACGTGATCCCTTCTACGGTCGCGGATCAGACAGAGCTCAACTCTGAGCTCACGGAGCCCAGAGAACGGAGCAAGTTTTCCAGACAACAAAACCGGCCTCGCATTTGTGTTGGGTTTAGAAACGGCCACGTGCAAATAGAGCCGCCGTTGAGTGATAGGCCCAGACAGAGGCTCATTGTCGTAAATTGAGCTCCATTGAACTATATTTCGGTCCACTTAACGGTGGCTTGGGACATGGGAATAGTTGGGAATAGGTTGGACTATAATCAAATTTTCTTCGTGGAGGGTTTTATTCGAGGAACACAATTTTTGAATGGGAAAAAATTTCTTCTTCGGTTATAATTTCGAGACAAATTTTCAGAAAACTCTGAAATTTTTCCACTTAAGTAACCTCACTAACAGGATTCTCGTCTCTGTTAGACCAATTTCAAAAATTTCCAATTTTCTCTGTTCAAAATTGATGTTTTCTGTCTCAAATAACCAGTCTCCGAAAATAGTACACATTATGAAGAAAGACACTTGTCAAATCGAGGGCAACTTGAGCATTGGTCCCTTCGTGTGAGGTCTAGTGGCTACTGAAGCCCCTCAAAAAAAAGAATCTGTCTGAGAGGTTTTTGAAATTTGGAGAAGCTTTTGAGAGCTTCACGGGAGGCAATTTTCAACGAAACCTGGGTGAAATTATGGAAATTGAATTTTTCTTCAATGAAGTCTTCTTTACCGCTAGTTGTTTAAAGATCGCAGATGAAAAGGTATCTTCAAATTTAGTTTTTATTCGAAAAAAGAACCTTTTTAACTTGAAATGGAATATGAACTCTTGGAAAAGGAGAAAAGATTAGAGTTGAAAACTTTGGATTTTTGATTTTATTCCAAGAATCATTCCCGTCCAACGAGAATATTGTAAAAAGTCCTTGATCTTTTGTGTCGAATTCCCGTCTGAAAGGATTAATAAAGCCACCAAGGGCGTGAAAAAGAAGAAAAGGTGGAATTATTGTTGCGATTCGACCTGAAGGACGTTTTAGAGTGCTTTTTAATTTGAAAGGCCGCGGGGTGAAAATGGCGACTTGATAGGTTTTTCGGTTTCTTCTTCGTGAGAGCTGAAGATTTTAAGAGGTCTACAAGTCTGAAAAAACTCCCTCTTTGGAATCCCTTCAAAGTACAACTTTCTGCTCCATAAAACTTCTCTCGAGGCTTTTCAATCTTACTGAAAGCTTCGTAAGAATACTTTGTACCCAAGAAAAAGTCATGAAATAAAAAGGAAGGCTTTCCAACAAATTGCTCGTTTTTATGCCTTCGACAAGATTCAAACGCCAAAAGTTAATTAATTGAAGCTCAAACCTTCTTTCGTAAGCTTACCAGATCCTTTCTAGAGTTCTTTCCCAGTTGAAAAGCCCCAAAAAACAACCCTTTGTTGCTCAAAACCTTTCCTCAACTCTTTAATCTTCATAAAAGCATTCCAAACGGACTTTATACCCGAGAAAAAGTCGTAAACTTGGAAAAAAGGTCTTCGATGAAGCTCTCTGCGAAATTGCTCGTTTTTGTTCGTTCAAAACGATTCCAACGCCAAAAAGTGCCTCAGAAGTCGTCGACCAAAGAAAACGTCGAATCGAAAACACTAGATGACCAGAAAAGACAGCAAAAAGCAACAAGCAAAAAAAAAAAGAACGAGGCGAAGATTCGACGTCAGGCAGGCGAGAGCGGCAGAGATGCAGATTTTATATGCTTCAGCATAGGAGAGGTCAGAGACGCAGCGTAGGATGTTCGACGGAGGGCGCAAAGCGCCGCGCAACCAACCAACCGACCCACGGCGGAGTCAATTTTCTCTTCTTTTTTCGCTTTTTTGCTCTTGGGACCACGTTATGAGGGGTCGGCTGAGTTTCGGAAAGGTACAAAGGCTTCCTGAACATCTTTGAACCCGTTGGAATGGACTTGATGCGGTCCAGAAGTCGTGAAAAGCCGAGGAAAGTGAGGGGAACTTTTTTTAGAGTTTCTGGACTTTTTTGAAGTTTTAGGGCTGTTTTCATGTCTTAAACTTGAGCTGTGAGGTCTCAAGTCGTTCTTAAAGAGATTATGGAGCTTTTGAGACCGGTTTGAATGGATTAACGGTGTTAAGAAGTGGTAAAGATCCCTTTTTTTGGATTATTTTGAAGTTTTGTGAGTATTTTAGGTCTGCGGGTTATGACAGAGCCGCAAAATCGGTTTTGAATTAAGAAAAAGTAACTTTGACGTGGTCAAGAAGTGATGCAAAACCGATGAAACAAGTAAAAAAATGAAAATTATTCATAAAATAGTAAAAATATCAAAGGCTTCATGACCATTCTTAAGGTCGAATATTAGTTTAAATTGCTGTTTTCGGGCTCGTTTTTCTTTTGGGAAATGTTGAAATCTTGATTCGAGTTGGTTTCGAGATTCAAGGAGCTCAGAAGAAACTTTGAGATTTTCACAAAGATAAAAGTTTTTTTGAGAAGCTTCAAAAATTTTTCCTAGCGGAGCTCTATTTGAAAAAGATTCCATTTTTTGGAAGCTGCTTCAAACTTCAGAATTGAGAATCAAAGCATTTCTTTCGAAAAAAATTGTTTGCTTGAGAAATTCATGTCGTTGTGTTGAAGAAAACACTTCAAAAGTTGCTAGGAGACAGTTTTCCATTGAAAATTTTATTGAATTTGAAAAAATGAAGAAAGGGATGAATAATCCGATTTTTTCAGTTGGGACAGCTTCGGAAGGGAAAGTGGCATCATGACCGGCGACAACGACTCCGACGACGGTTCTGTCACTCCGACGCCGTCAGTTTTCACGTCTTCTTCAATAAAATGCCACTCTAATTGGATTTTTCAATTTTCTTGTGATTTATTCCGCATTTTGGCCAACTTCTAGAGCTCCAAATCCAAGAAAAAGAGCGAAAACTTGTTGACGGCAAGTCCGACGTCATATCAAGGGCGGAGCCCCATCAAAACTGGCCGCGATCGAAAATGAATGCGATTTGCAGGCGACGTCGCATGCGCGACACCACCTTCCGCCAGCAGCAGCAACTCCGACAGGTGCTGCAGCTGGTCGCGACGTCGTCGCCGTCGGCAGCCGCCGCCGAAGCGACATCGTCGGCCGCCGAGAAACGTCGCTACAGCATGATCGCCAAGCGGGAAGACCTCCCGATCGCCTACCGCCTTCGCAGTGGCAATACCGGTCAGGATTGGTTCCTCAGTAGATCCATTTCTTGACACCCTAGCTAATCCGATTGATCTTTCGGTAAGCTCTAGAGGTTCTTGGTTCGGTTCCGCTGCTCGGCGTTTCATTTTTGCCTTTTTTTTCAAGTCGATTCACAAAGAGCTTGGCCCTGGAAGAATGCATGACTTGAAGCTACGGGTCTTGAGAAGAAGAAAAAGTTATTTTTTGGGATTTTTTCGGGCTTTTTCTCAAAAATGATGAAGACGTAGCGGTCGATTTCAGCGAGAAATAGTTTAATTTCAAAAAAAAAAGCGTGATAATTCAGCCATTTCTCTATAATTTTCTTGACCAGCAAAGTTCTGACGACTTTTTTAGTTGATGAATTTTTACATTTTGCTCATTTTTCTGGAATTTTTTTTTAAATATGCCCTTAAGAACAAACATTTTACAGTTGACAGCGCACGAAAACTTGACTAATTCGAAAAAAAAATCTCTTAAAGATTCTTAGGAAGCCAAAAAATCAATTGAATTGAGTGAAATAGCGACTCTTTTTCGAATTTTAGTTTCCCGCCAAAATGGTCTGCTTTTTACATTGTTTGATCGAAAATCAAACGATTCAATAAAAATCGAAAGAAATTGTTTTGTCGTAGTTTGGTCGAAGAAATGATATGCGTATCGGATTACCCGTCTGGATACGTCTGAACGCAAAGTGTAATAATGGACTCTTGATCTAATGAGCTTTGTCTGGTCCGGTGAGGTCTCAGCAGAAAGAATAGTGGAAAAAAAAATAAGGGTTCGAAAAATCAGACAAAAAAGAGATCTCTTGAGCCGCTCCTGATTAGAGCACACAAAGTATCGCCGGTGAAAGCTTTTCTAGAATTTTTCAAAAATAATCTTGCCAATAAATCTTTTCAATTACATAACTTCAAAAACAGCTATTTCGGTGAGGATTATGTGCTCTATGGAGAAAACCGATTTTGAGATTTTTTGAAACAGTTTGGCCCGGAAAATTATCTAAAATCTTATACTTTGTGCAAAAAGTTTTCAAGATCAATAGATAATAAATTTTCCATGAGCTCGCAAAATATCGAGGCTTAGAAAAACCAATAAATTTTTAAAAACAAACCTGCGAAAAAACAGCTGTTTCTGATACGAATTTTGCGCTATATGGACAAAAAAATTCATAGAGTTATTCGAGTATTTTGATCTCTACAAAAGTTTTTTGAAAAAAAAAGCCAAATTGAAAAGATATATGCTCTATAGAGAATAGAGAATACTCTAAAAGTATTGGCGATTTGCTAGTTTTTTTTTCAACCGCTTTGCTTGACCCAGAATCACCTTTGGGAAAAACTAAAGACCAATTCCAAAAAGAGGACAAACAGATCCATTGTGAATAAATATTTCTTTCTCTCATTCTATGGCCTTGGCCTCACTTCCTTATGGCAGAAAACATGCCATAAATCAAAACAATCTCTGTTTTTGGGATTGAAATGCAATATTCTCGTCTTTCTTTAGGGAATTTTCTGCTTTTGACTAGGGGGAAAATGTAGAAGAAAGCAGAGCGTGAAATTATTTCTTTTGAGTCCTTTTTCCAGCTCAAAATGATATTTTCGTTCGAAAAACTTGCACTTTCAGGGAGAAAAAAAAGAAGGAAAAGTGCAGCCTTGGAAGGAAAAATGAACTAGTTAGGACCCGTAGCATCTCTAGTCCAATAATTCGATTGGATAATTTGGCCCGTCGCTGTTCCTTCCCCAATCCGCTGCTGTCGCACTTTCAAACTAGACTAGAAAAGAGCCGGATCGGGAAAAAAAACGTATATTTTTTAGCGATTAAAAATAGATTTTTATTTAAACTTGAAAAAAAAACGCCAGAATAAAGTTTTTTTTGTCTACTACCTTTAGAAATTTGAACCTAAAAGGGTGCTATGAATTTCCTATTTTTTTATCCAATTTTTATAAAAAAATGCTTTTCCGCTTTTCCAGTATGAAGCTCCGATAGAACACGTTGAGAAAACAATAATATTAAAGTCGAAAAATGTAAAATTTTCTCAAAATTCGGTTTTTTGTCGATTTCGCTTCCTAAACTTTGTAGATAAAAATAATTTTCATTCTTAAAAATTTTTTCTTATTAGCTCTCCTCTTGCAACGCATCCTACACGATCCTGAAAAGATGAAAGATAGAGCAAAAAAGGAAGAAAAACTTGAGCCTTGAGATATTAATTGGCTACCGGAAGCCAATTAGAAGCGCCTCAGAAGCCTCGAGTGGCGTACCAGGACGTTAACAAGGTTTTTCCCAGTTGGACGCTTCTTCGAGCTTATTTTTTTCATGCTGTTTGGCTCTTCCTTCTTCTTCTTTCCTCAAGTTATGAGAAGAAAATCCAATTTTTCATATTTTAGAATTTTTTTTCTAGGAAAGAAAGTTCTAGAAATGGGGTTTTTTTGCAGAAAAATCGAAGAAACTTTACAATTGCCCTTGAAAATTCATTACAAGACGACCTATTTTTGAAGCACCTGGGAAAGTTTTTAGTGGACACTAGAGAGGCTTGCCAAGGACTTTTTGGAGAGGATACTAAAGTGGCCACTAAACCCACCTCTATAGTGGCCACTATTTCCCGTTTTAGTGACCACTTCAGTAGTTTTTCATCCAGTATTCCTTCCAGTAACTCTGATAACTTCAAAACAAACAGATTGGACTAGTTATGTTGATCCATTGACCCCTAAAGTGGCCACTAAAATTTTTAGTGATCTAGTAGTTGCACTAGTAGACCTTTATAGTGGCCACTGATTTTTAACCCCTTAAGTGGCCACTGATTTGACTGCTATAGTGACCAATAAAACGACAAATCCCTAAAGTGGCCACTCGACTATAAGTTTTCACAGATCTGAAATTTTTTAAATCTCGGTTAAAGTTCCAAGCTTTCAGAAACGGTGCGTCCGGTGAAGGTGGCGGCCCGTCGGATCCCGGTCCGGGTGATCATCAACCGCCCACCGACGACGTCGTCCAACAAGACGTCGTTCTCCGGGGAGACGACCTGCACCGTCGCCCCGGCCGCCAAACGCAACCGACGCAACAGCCACCGTCCCTCACTCGATTTCGACAAGATGTATGAGGTCGGTCGCTGATTTTTACGCTATTGAGTCCAGGGTTTTCAGAGATGATTCTCAAACTTGTCAAATAAATCTGAAGTTTTCTTTTTTCCATCTTTTTATAGGACTCTAAGGTCTTATTTTTTGAATCGATCACAGCAAAAAGACTTTGAAAAAGGGGTTCTTAACCTAAAAATGGGAAAAAATTTGGCTCTTTTTCAGAAGCTTCTAATAAACCATTTCCATAAAAAAATCCTAATAATGATTTTTCTGAACCTATCGATATTCAGAACCGCATCGAGACGCCGTACCCATCGCCGGCGACGTCGCCAACCCCACCGATGACGTCATCGGCGGCTAGAACTTCGCTCAAGAAAGATTCCATCGTCACGCGTTCCCAGTCGAACCTTTGAAAATCATCCTTTTCCAAAAATCGTTAATCATTGTTCTCCCAGTCGCCGGCGACGTTGGCGACATCTCGAAGTTGGTATTGCTCAATTTTCTCCCTCCTATTTAATCTCCAACATCACGATTTAAGTTATAACATCAATGAGGGAGGTTTGAAGGCCCATTAAAGTTATTTATAGGTTTTTTAAAGCTACGAGTGTTCATGAAAATAATGAATCTAACCTTCAAACCTTCCTCAAAAACTTTATTCATTTCCATTGTCGAGATTTCGCCATCGTCGAAGCTGCGCCACGGTGAATTACGATGTCACTTTCCTTTTCATAAAACCTGGATTACGGTAGTCTTACTGTAACCTTTGGGCTCTTATTTTGTTGTTCTAGACATTTTTTTAAATATCATCTTTATTGTTATTTTCCTCTTATTTATGTAGTCTACCGTAGAAGTTGCTTCTTTTTTTCCTTTGTTGACGGTTCTACCTGTTTTCTTCTTTTGTCTCACTTTTCTATCAATTTATCAAATTTATTGCCTTTTTTTTATCATTTTCCAATGCTTGGGTAGTTTTTTGATGGTAGATCCATGATAGATTTGACAATATTTTGGAAGAAAAATCAAAAAGAAAGAAAAAAGTTGAAAGGTTTGAGAAAATTCAATTTTGTATCGAAATTTCGATTTGAAGCAGCGCAAGTCGTTTTAAGTCGGGCGCAAGCAACCAATCCTGACCGTATGATATTCCTCAAAATATCCATAACTTTCTCATCTTTCTCATTTCTTCTTCTATTTTTATATCCCTAATTTATGCCCCAAGAACCGCCAATACCTCTACCGGCGTCACGACTTTATTGTTATTCTCTTTTTTTCCCCCTCAAAACCAAAAATCCTCAAATTCTAGATTTTTCCCAATCGCGTATAGCTCCATTCAAACAGGCTCAAGGAATTCAGCTTTTTCTTTTTTTTTTCCATCGAGCTGCAGCTCGTTTTGTAACATACATTGAGATGATCCAGGCGTTTTTTTTTCTCCTTTTCTTTTCTTTTTCTTCGATGACCTGCCTCAGGTTTCTTTCCTCTTCCTTCTGAAAAAAAAAAAAATTCAAGTATTAACCTGCCCCTTTTATAGCTGAATCACGGCCAGCTTGGGTCGCTAAGGGGGCGTGGCCTGTCTGCGCTCTCCACGGGCCAGGCACTATCTCGTGCATTCTCGTGTCAGAACCCTTTTTTCGATGGCTCAAGCCAACCGTGAATCAGCTATACAAAATTTAATATTTTTTTCAAATGTACAATTTCAATCTCTGCCAATGAGCTTTTTTAAGGAATAATTTTTTTCTATAAAGTCCCCCAGAAGTCCATAATAACAGTGTGACCGTTGTTTCCGTTCCCAATTTTACAATCTTTGCGTGTATTTTCTTCCTTTTCCCCCTCCTTACTTGATTTATCAAGCTGTTGCGTCAATAAATATGTGGTAGAAAATTTTCTGATTCGAGCAAGATGGGAATTTTATGGGAATCGAACCGACGATCCCTGGAATGACAGGCAGAACGGCTACCGACTGAGCCAAATGTTCCATGAGACTCGTAAGCGTAATAAAAAAGGACCTTCCTTCGGAAAAAGAACACCAAAGTTCCATGGGAAAAAAAAAGCTTTTATCAGCTTTTTACTAGGTGAAAACCTTTTGGTAATTTCTGACAGGTGGAAATTCGAGCTCTTGCCTTTCAACTTTGAAAGTCTCGTGATAAGTGAAATATTCGAGCTCTAACTGATATCCAATAGAGACCAATATTATGGATTCGAATCATGGTGGCTTTAAGTTCCCGCCAATGGAAATTTTCTCTTTTTTCTACCCCTTTCTGGGAGTCCTGGTCCATTGCTTCGAGTTGTACCTTATCATATGGAAAACGCCGAAATTCGTTCAGTCGAAGGTTCCTCAGGCCATCAGAGCGGTAAGTTTCTTCATAAGTTGTTTTTATAATGAAAAATTCGCTTTTTTTTTGATAATCAATTATAGTCTGTGTGCCACGACTTGAAATTTCACCGAACGACATTCCGCTGTTTCGTTGCGTGCGTTCGCGAAGCGTCTTTCGAATCTAGGTCACGCTTTCAATTGATTGTTACTGCTGTGGGAGCACATGAAAGTAGAGTACCTTAATAAAAAAAAATGGTTCGCAAAGGCGCGCAGCGGCACAACGGAATGTCGTTTGGTGAAATTCCAAGTCGTGGTATAGTCTGTGTTGGAAATTCACGGAACGACATTCCGCTGTGCCGCCGCGCGCCTTTGCAAACCTTGGTCGCGCTTTTGATTTTTCTTTTCTTTTTTAAGGCACTCTACTTTCATGTGCTCCCACAGCAATAACAATCATTTGAAAAAGTAACCTAGGTTCGAAAGACGCTTCACGAACACGCAGCGGAACAGCGGAATGTCGTTCCGTGAAATTTCAAGTCGTGGCACACAGACTATACTCAGGCTATAGAAGTTTAAATTTTCGCGGCTCTTCAAAAATTGCGACAATTCAGGCCCTTGCGATTCCCATCAACTTCATGACTCAAGATAGCGGCTATGGATTTTGGTTGATCCCTGAGTTGGGAGAAAAGTGGATGACGGAAAAAGTGAAGATTTTCGGCGACAAAAACAACCTTTCAACGAGTATTGACTTTTTCGTGAGTTGTTTCGATCGACAGTTTTTTTTTTCAAAAAAAATTCTTTTTTCAAAGTTTCTTCCGTTATATATTGCCAATCCATCACGATCGAAAGGCAAGGAAAGCGGGGAAGAGGGCGGGACGCCTACGCTGTTCTTGAAGAAATGAATGAATAATTAAAAATAAATTCAACCGCCACCGTCTATTCAAAATGCTCGTTCACCGCTTTTTTTATATTTATTCTACTATTTTTTTATGCAAAATCAAAAGAAATCAACAACGAATTGAAAAAGGAATAAAGAGCCTTCAAAAAGATCTCCAAATAGCTGCTGGTCGTTCAATTGGACTCGTGCCAAGAACCGCGAACGCACACGCTACGCGTCTCGCTCCCTTCTCTGCCTCCGTCGCCTTTCAAGTCGGCAAATATTGATTATATGAGGGCCTTCGTTAGTTTCTTCAGAAACTTTTTCAATTATGGAAAACGTCTGTTTTTCGAGTTTTCCGTATATAATCGACCGCAGAAAAATGATGGAAACGAAAAATCCCCTTAGCATGATATAGATAGAGTTCTAAGATGTTTCGAAATACTCCGTTCTGCAAAAATCGTTCCAAAGTGTTATCCAGGCGGGACTCGTCACCTTCAGCCCGATAATTCTTGCTGCGATCCTCCACATACAGTACGCCAATCTTCGTTGCGTGACCCTCGACGAGTTCAAAAAACCACTGTGGAAATATCGGCTCAACGTCGGCTTCATTTATTTTTTCTCCACTTTCTCGGGGCTCATACTTTTGATAACTGTGCGTCATTAACTAAAAAAAAAACATGATTCGGTCAATTCAGACCCAGGAGGGGGCTTCGGTCTACGCACTTCTTTTCTGCTTGCTCATTCAATTTATTTATACCTTTATTTATGGTGAGCGCAAAATATTAAAATTATGATAATTATTTTTCACAGTTTCTTCGGCGTTGAAGTTCTCATGGGACATTTGGGAAAACTTCAATCCTTTCAAAGGCGTCAATGTTTCGGAAAACACGAGGAAAATGCAAAGAAAAGTTTTCCTGTCTATTCAAATCCAGGTCAAAATCGAACAATTAGATTAACTGGTTCCCCTTTCAGACTTTGGTTCCATTTTTGGCCATCATTATACCGAATCTATATGCTCTTCTCCTTCTTTCAAGAAGGGTCAAACAAAACCCGATACTGTGCTTTATCAGCTGCGTTTTGAGCTTCTCCTATGTACCGATTTCTGTCTTCTTACTCATCGTCACTCATAAAAACCACCGAGATTGGTTTATTAAAAAGTTCTTTCCGAAAAGTTAGTTTTTGAATTTTTGAAGTCAGCCTTGTTCATTTGCAGGTTCAACTGCAGTTTCATCATCTGGAGATAATATGAAAACTGTCGTCGTCGTTGAGAAATGAAAAATCCCCTTTTTCAAGCTATCGCTTTAATAAATTTGTTTAAACAGGTGTTTTTCCTCGATATTGTTATATGAAGAAAACCAAGCTCGAGATTGGAAGCATGAGTGAGAAGAAATTTCAGCGAACTTTGAAAGGAGTCGAACCAATAACCTTTTGATTGAGATGCAGAGGGACTACCGACTGAGCCATTTGAAAGGAGCTCGGAAACGCTAGTACAGCCGAGGAGCTTGGGACAAAAAAAGCGTGAACTTCTGCGCTCTCCACCAACCAGGCACTATCTACTTGTCAGGACCCATTTTTCGACGGCTCAAGCCAGCCGTGAATCAGCTATAAGAATATTTTCTATTTTTGAGCTGTCAACATTTCAAAGTTTTCGAAAAAAAATATTGTCCCGATCTATGCTTAATTTAAACTATTCTCATGTTCCCCAGGTGATTTTTTTGAACAAAAAGAGGCAGGTGTTAATCAGACACGCTCAAAATTTTACTCGAGAAGTCACTATAACTTTGTGAGAAAATGCAAATAATCGGCGACTGTTATTTAGATTTAATGGAAGCTGTTTCCATATTATATCCAATCGTTGGGATATTTGTCCACTGCTTCGAGTTGTACCTTATCATTTGGAAAACGCCGAAATTCGTCCAGTCGAAAGTTCCTCAGGTCATCAGAGCGGTGAGTTTCATTTTTTTTCTTCCTAAATTTTCAAAAAAGACAATGATGAGGTTTTTCTTACGATGTCTGGAATCTTTCAAGGAAAATACACATTTTTTATAGCCACGACATGAAATTTCACGGAACGACATTTCGCTGTTCCGCTGCGCGCCTTTGCGAACCTTGGTCGCGCTTTTAATTATTTTTTTCTTTTTTTGAGGTTCTCTACTTTCATGTGCTCCCACAGCAGTAACAATAAATTGGAAGCGTGACCTAGATTCTAAAGACGCTTCGCGAACGCACGCAGCGGAACAGCGGAATCTCGTTCCGTGAAATTTCAAGTCGTCATACACAGACTATATTTGTTGCACAAAAAACTTCAATGCGCAAGCTTTATTCGTTTTTTTTTATTTTTATCAAGTTACCAACCAAATTGAAGCTGCTCGCGATTCCCATCAATTACATCACCGATGAGAGTGGCCTTGGATTCTCCCTTATCCCTGACTTGGGTGACGATTGGCTGGATGGAAAGATGAAGTTCCTTGGAGAGGATAGCCGTTACGAAATCGATCACTATTTCGTAAGTAGCTTCCTACCAAAAGTTCAAACAAAAAAACTTTGGAAATTTTATCTTATCGTATTTTATTTTATGATAGTCGAACTTTTTTTGAGTTCAACTTTAGCATCCCTTGCGCGTTCCGCCTTCATTGAAGTTTGTGCGAGGGTCGGCCCGTCGGCCTTTCGGCCCGAGCTATTTTCTATCCCGGCCTACCCGGTCTGAGCGAAACCTCAATCAGAAACGGGTCACCAGCTTTAAGAGATTTTCTTCAAGTCGAACATCACACTTTTTCAAGACAAAAAAAAAATCACGTTTTCGGTTATTTTTTTCTCCTTCACTAAACCGGCAGGAAGAAGTTCTTCAAAATGGGTAATGAATCTACTCGAGTATTTTACTTCAGCTGGGTCTCGTCTGGGTCAGCCCCATAAATCTCGCGGCGATCCTGCACATACAGTATGCCAATCTCCGTTGCGTGACCCTCGACGAGTTCAAACAACCATTGTGGCGATATCGGCTCAACGTCGGCTTCATTTATTTTTTCTCAGTGGTGATAGGATGGGCATATCCTGTAATTAAAACCAAAATGAAATGATAATAAAACTAAAATTCGCAGACCTTCCGTTCCAATCCAGACTTTTCAATTTTTTCCTTGTTCTTCCAATTCGTTTACACCATTGCCTACGGTGGGAAGGTCTTCAAGATCTCGACAGAAACTATTTTTCAGTTGGTTCGACTTTGAAGTTTTCCTTGGACATTTGGCAAAGCTTCAGTCCTTGGAAGGAGGTCAGAGTATCAGAAAACACGAGGAAAATGCAGAGAAAGATTTTTCTGGCTATTCAAGTCCAGGTAAAAATTTTTAAAATTTTCTGAAAATTGAAAAATTAGATTGGAAGCATATCCACAGAATGGTCCCTAAAAGGGAAATCTTAAGGCCCTCAGAGGTCCCCCTATAGGGACTTTTTTACGGACCCCTATCGAAGCTTTCAAAAAAGGTCCTTTTTTGATCCAGCTTAAAAAAACCGCTTACCGGAATATATTTTCCAGCAGGAAAAAAAAATCTTGTTTTTACAGTTTTTGCCCGTATCAAAAACTCTTATAACCTATAATGAAAAATTTTTTTTCAAAAATTATAAAAATCGAGAGAGGAAAGATAAATTAGCGGTAGAGCAACTTTGCTGCAGGATGTGCTGTGCGCGGGATTCAAAACTTTCCCACAATCTTTCTTCAAAAAATTTCGGACAGTGTCAAGTAGACATTTCAGAGAACAACGAAAACCTCTAAAAACTTTATTTTCACTGACCTCCAATTTTATTCATGAAGTTAAGACGGAATAATTCCAGACTTTGATCCCGTTTTTGGCTATAATTATTCCCTGTCTATATGCCATTATGCTCCTCACAAAAAGGGTTAAGCCAATCCGACTGCTTTGCTACATTTGCTGTGTACTGTCTTATTCACATGTACCACTTTCGCTCTTTCTCCTCATTGTCACTCATAAAAACCTTCGAGATTGGTTCAGCAACACGTTCTTCCCAAAAAGTAGGTTTATTTTCTAGTGATTTTGAATTGATTCATTTTTCAGGCTCTAATGCAGTTAATCCAGCCGAAGATGATAATAGAACTGCAATAGAATAATTTTTAAAGGACTTCTGATTTTTGCAACTTTGCTTCAAAAATGGCTTAATCGAATTTTAATTATTTCAATAAAAAAATTTATTAATTTTTTTCGATTTATCTCACAAAAAGAACCCGCAGCGAAAAAATCTTCAAGGCGATTATTTACTGCTCGAAGACCTCGCTACGACGTTTAAAGGATCATAGTGGAATTGTACTGAGGTCCCCAGGGAAAGAATAGGATAAAAAAGCAACTTTTCTGAAAAAAAAAGGAAAAAAAGGAAGCTATAGTAACTTCCCCCGCCTTTTTACGGATTTGAAGGACTTCACAGAAATTGTCTATGGCTTGGACTATGCTCACGTTTTCCTAGCGATATTACAAAAAGTCAACCAGGTGATTCTTCTTCTTCTTACGCCTTTGTAACGCTTGAGCGGCGTCGGCGCCCCAAGTCGATTAGCCGAGGTCCTATCCTGATATCAGTGGATTGGCTCCAGTGACATATCTGTCCTTGTGTGTGACGGCTGGGGATTATGAAGCCGTGGTTTCCCACTACCAACATTTATTAAACCCCTTGGTTGGGTCGGGGCGGGGATCGAACTTGTGACCCTGTGGACCGTAGACAGGCACACAACCTGTTGCGCTACGGCGCGCCCAAAAAGACAACCAGGTGATTGTTGAAACTTTTCAAAACTCTCCCCAAAAATCGATCCAGAACGAAATGATTGCCGTCGATTCTTCAGTGGAACATTTTTACCCATTTATCGGGTTTTTTGTTTATTGTTTCGAGCTGTTCTCACAATTTGGAAAACACCGAAGTTCTTCCAGTCGAAGGTTCCTCAGGCCATAAGAGCAGTGGGTTTATTTTTTTTTTTGAATTTCGGAAACCTTTTTTTGCACAAATATGGAGAAAAACTGGATGAATAAAAATGTGACGGTACTTGGGAACGAAAACGAGTTGAAAACGGGTCGTGATCATTTTGTGAGTTTCTAAAATTCAAAAAGAGCCGTTCAAATGTGACGACATAGCTTTAATGCAAAAATAATTTTCCTGTTCAAATTTTTGATTTCTTCTCAAGGATTTGAACCAATCCTTCTGACCACAGTGTCCTCATAATCATCAATTTTTTTTTCCGTAATCTCTATCGAGAAAATTCAACCAAGAACCTATGAAAAACATCCTTCAGAATGTGAAGAGTTCTCACTTTTTTCAAATTCAGAGTTCCATTCACCCACAGGTGTTCGAATAGATATGCGTAACCGGGGCGACCTTTCAGGAACCGAATCCAGGTGATTTTCAAAATAAAACACTTCCAATCGGACAGCCACCAGAAAGATGTTCGGTGACAAGTATAACATAGTTTTATTGCAAATCTTTCATAACTATTATCCAGTCTTCTGGATCCTCTTCCACTGTTTCGAGTTGTATTTTATCATTTGGAGGACGCCAAAATTTGTCCGATCGAAAGTACCTCAAGCTATCAAAGCGGTAAGTTTTTCGAAAACCGGGTGTACTGTTTTAATTTAAAATAATGTTCCAGGTGATTGACGGTATGGTCGATTACGCGACTTTTAGTAGTGCCTCGGTATTTTCCTTGATCCCAGATTCGGCAGACAACTGGATGAAAGAAAATGTAACGTATCAAGGCTACACTGCACCGAGTGGTCAAGTCGTTGTGAGTAATTTAAAAAAAGTATTTCGAGCTTTTATTAAATTTCCGGAAAATGTGACAAAGTTATGATTTTTTGTCCCCTCGTCTCTGTAAATAATGTTTTCTGCAAGTTTAAAATTTCCGGATCTCATAGTCTTTAAAAAACATTGTTTGGCTTTTACATATTTGAAAACCCGACCGGCTTTCAAGTATGCAAAATAAAAAGATCTTTTTTTTACGATAGCTATTATTACTCCATTTTTCAAGAGTTTCTTCTAGTGGACACTCGTCTGGTCTTCCGCGGTGAGTCTCGCCGCGATTTTTCACATACAGTATGCCAATTTTCGTTGCGTGACCCCCGACACATTGAAAATACCATTGTGGAAATACCGGCTCAAAGTTGGCCTCGCCTATTTTTTTTCTGTGGCGACTGGAGTCCCGACTATTACTTTAGTACGATAGGATCCTAAAACAAGACAAGAAAAAAAAACAGGTACAAACAGAGGCAGCCCAATTATCTTTCGAACGCCCACTTTACTTGCTTCTTCAGTACATTCATAACTCTTCCTACGGTGAGTAAAATAAATCGGAGATAGCAATGATCAAAAATCTTTAGTTTTTTCGACGTTCGATTTCTTGTGGAGAGTTTGGTCTTCGAAGGACGTCAATATTTCAGAAAACACACTAAAAGTGCAAAGGAGGGTTTTCCTGGCTATTCAAGTACAGGTAAAAGCGCGAAAATGGCTGCAACTTATGTATACTCAAACACCAAAAGGGTAATATCGGGGTAACTCTGAGGGTAATTACCGCGCCGCGTTTCGGTAGCTGCTCCCAGTCCTTCTTGGAACTTACCCAGACGCCAAAAAGAGTTGCATAAAATCTAGAAATTTTTTACCAGAACTCGTAAAGTATAATTCGTCTGCGCCCTCATTTCTTATCATAATGAGTTTAGAAAAATGTTATAGTACGTTCCGCGCGAGAAGGTCACTTCTAAAAAGGACATTTAAAGCTACCGTAAATACACACGTTTGCTTTAGAAAACTGTAAATTTTCAATGATTTCAGACTATTCTCCCTTTTGTGGTTATAGTAATTCCATCTTCATACGCCATTTTGCTTCTATCGAAAATGGCGGGGCCAAATCGAGAAACTTGCTTCGTTTGTCGCATTTTATGCTTGTTATATCTACCGACTTCTCTTATCTTACTTGTTCTCATCCAGCCGTTATTTCCAAAACGTAGATTTCACTTGATAAAAAGCAAGCAATTTTGAATTTCAGGCTCTGGTTCAATTAAACCAGCAGACGTAAAAATTATTACCGGCGCGGTTGTGGTGAATTAGCAATAAAAAAGAAATCACAAGTGCTGTAATAACACAGAATAAATCTATTGCTTTATGAAATATTCTTCGATTTGAAATGTTTTTATGCGAAGGATTTTAATATTGGTATATATATAAACTTTGATTTTTGCTGGACTTTTTGATTATTCTCAGACAGTTCAAAAAGGTGAAGCTCAAAAAACTTTTCAGAGCCCTTCGAACACTTTGAAAGAAAGAAAAAACGGGGGGGAGGGGACGGTTGAATTCTTCGAAAATCGTGCTTTTTTGAGATTTCCCTACAAGCAACATTCGAGAAAAAGGAGTTTTCAGCTTTTTTTTTCAATCATTAGATTTTTGGAGATTTTCTGCAAAATCCTATATTTCAGGTTACCCTGGCGACCTTTGAGAATAAAAGTCCAGGTGATTTCCGAATTTGAATAAACTTGCAATGGAACCGTCAAGAATTTACTCGGAAGAGAATGCTTGGCGACCAATACAATATTTATCTCATCGAAATCTTTCACAGCTTTTACCCATTTTTTGGCATTTTCGTTCATTTCTTCGAATTGTACTTCATCATTTGGAAAACGCCCAAATTTGTCCAATCGAAGATTCCTCAGGCCATCAGAGCGGTTCGTTTTTTTGATAATAATTGAAAAAGAAAAATTTCTCCAAGTCATCAAATTCTCATAGGCTTCTTTGAACTTTACAAGTTTAATTTGAAATCAAATCTTTCAGGTCTTCGAGACGATTATCGATTTCGTGACTGTACTTATCGCCTCAATATTTTCAAACATTCCGATATTTGGAAACAACTGGATACGAGAGAATATGTCGATGAACGGCGAAATCTTTTCGATTTCTAATACTTTTGTAAGACCTTTCAGCGTTTATAAAAATAATACCCTAATAAAATCGTAAAAAATCCTTAAACGCAATTTTTTTTCGATTTTTCTCATAGTCGCTTCCATCAAAGAAAAAGAAAAAAACAATTCAATTCAGTTAGGATTTTTCTGGTGTAGCTCACTGAGTCTCGCCGCGATCCTGCACATACAGTATGCCAATTTTCGTTGCGTGGCCCCCGACGAATCAAAGTTACCATCCTGGGAATATTGGCTCAAAATTGGGCTAATTTATTTTTTCTCCTTTATGACCATTAGTCCGCTATCTAGTTTAGTTCGTTGAGAACTCAGACAAAAAGGACAAAAAATGGTTCAGATTTTAGTAGATGATACTCCCTCAAATCTTCTATTATTCTTACTTCTTTATTACCTTCACACCTTCTTTTATGGTTGAGCAACCTGAATTTTGGCTGTAAACAGAGAAAGTTTGCAGTTGGATCGGCGTTTAAGTTCTCATGGAAAGTCTGGGCAAACTTCAGTTCTTTGAAGGACGCCAATATCTCAGAGAGCACAAGAAAAATGCGAAGAATGGTTTTCCTGGCTATTCAAATTCAGGTAAAACCGGAAAAATATTTTTGAGTATGAAGTTCAAAAACGAATCCTCCAAGATTCGAAAGATTCTGACTTTTCTGCGCCCTCTTTTTTCTAACAGGTCACATAAGTGTGTAAACTGTCCCAAATTTATTACGAGAAAGGTACAATTCCATAATTACAGACCTTATTCCCTTTTTTGATTTTAATGATCCCATCTTCATACGCCCTTTTGCTTCTCTCAAAAATGGCGGGGCCAGATCGAGAAAGTTGTTACATTTGCCGCATTTTATTTTTTCTGTATCTACCGATTTCTCTCATCATTCTTATTTTCATACGGTCGCTGTTTCCAAAGAGTATGTTTTCTTCTCAAAATTAAACGAATTAATTTTTAGATTAATTTTTGAATTCAGGTTCAAATGAAGTGAAACCAAAAAAAGTGAGCTCGAATACAGGCCCCGTGGTAGTCAATTAAAGACAATTTTTTCTTGGCAAGATCGAAAATAAATTTTTACCAGTACAGAAAGTCTTTTTGATCTGCATAAATTTGTGACTTTTCTCAATGTTTTGACTTTTCATACCGTCAGAAATATCCTTTCAAGGTTTTCAGACTTCATTCCTGATTTTCAAGAGAAGTACCTTATTAAAAAACATCTTTAAATGAAGATGTTGTTGATTTAATCTTTGTTGAAAAATACTTTGGGACCTTGTTTCTGCGAGTTGCCTTAAATGTCATTCAACTGATCACTGTAAAGGCAATGACGTCATTTTTCGTTCCCCTGGCGACCTTTCATTCTGAAAAAGCAGGTGTTTTTTTTTTTGAGCTTTGAAGTTCTCCAAAAAGCAAAAAAGAAAGCCAGAAACATAATGTTGATGGGTGACTACAATGTGCCTCCATTGGAGATTCTTTCCTTCCTCTATCCATTCATTGGAATATTCGTTCATTGTTTTGAACTGTACCTTATTATTTGGAAGACACCGAAGTTCGTCCAGTCGCGGATTCCTCAGGCCATCAGAGCAGTGGGTTTCTTAAAAAATCTTTTTTGAAAAATTGCCCAAACTATTACGAACACGGCAGATATCTATTAAAATTTTGACGCGATCGTTTTTGAAAGGTTCCTCAGTTGCTATTGAAAAAAGCGCTGAGGAAAGCGCGCTCCACAGATCTCAGAAGAAAATAAATTAAAAAAAGGAACTTTTGAATTTTTTTGAAATTTCTTTCGAGTGGCATACTTACAGAAAGTCATTGTCAGGCTCTCTATTTTTCCAGCAACCTCAAAAATTTTAAAGCATACTTTATCCGTTTTATTCGAGACTCAACCATGAGAATAATTTTTTCAGATGCTTGCGATTCCAATCAATTTCATGACTAAAGACAGCGGTTTTGGATTTTCGAGGATTTCTGGTTTGGGAGAAGACTGGATGGCGGAAAATGTGACGGTGTTTGGTCACGAAGAAATAACGATAACCGTTCCGGATCAATTTGTAGGTTTCTTTTTTTTCCAATTTTTCGTTCTTTCAAATCCAACGGAGCTTTAGATCGAGCTATAAAAAGTTTCATTCAGACTGGACTAATAATGTTCAGTCCACTGACTCTCGGCACGATCCTCCATATACAGTATGCCAATCTTCGTTGCGTGACCCTAGATCAGTTCAAAAAGCCATTATGGGAATATCGGCTGAACGTTGGTCTCATCTACCTTTTTTCCTTCGTATCAACATTTCCAGCTGCAGCTTCGGTGATTGATATCTGAACAGAAAATGAATTAAATCGGAGTTTTAGAACGCCAAAGTTTCGAAGAGTGTACAAACTTTCGGCCTTCTTCTTCATATCATTTACGTCATTAGTTATTGTAGGGAAATTCTTGAATTTCATGAAAAACTTTTTTTTAGTTGGCTCGGCGTTGAAATTCTCCTGCGAGATTTGGGAAAGCTTCAGTCGTTTGAAGGTGTTCAGTACGTCGCAAAACGCGAGAAACGTTGAGAAAAGGGAGTTTTTGGCCATCCAAATACAGGTACTTTTTTCTGAAGGCAAATCAGTTGATTTAATGTAGATTGAGAGAAAAATACAGGGTGAAAAACAGTCCAGAATCCTTATAAAAAGGGTCATTTTAACACTTCTTTGTTTACATTATACATATGGACCAAATCGATTTTAGGTCGAATTTCGGATAAAACGTCAGAAAATGAAACTTTTTCAGACCCTGGTCCCATTCGTGGCTATAATTATCCCAACTTCATATATTATTCTGCTTTTTTCGGGAATATTTCTTCCAAATCGAAACATTTGTCTTATCAGCTCCGTTCTCTGCTTTTCCTATGTACCGATGTCTATTTCTGTACTCATATCAACACACAAAAAGTACCGAAATTGGTTCATGAGAAGCTGTCTATAAAAATTGAGGTCAGAGCTATTTTCTTTGAGGAGACATTAATTAACTTTATAGGTTGTAGTTTTGAATCATCCAAATTCTGTCCTGTTCAAACCGATTTTTCACTTCAACTTTTCTTAAACTTTTTTTTCAATTTTATTTCCACTTCCTCCGCCTGGCGACCTTTTGATAAACGAATACTGGTGAAAAACTTTCCAATTTTCCTTGGGAAGCCAGGAAACGGCGAATGTGGATTGACGGTCGTTATATTACTTCTTTTGAAGCTTTTTCCCTAACATATCCCCACCTTGGAATATTCGTCCATTGCTTCGAATTGTACCTCATCATTTGTAAAACTCCCAAATTCGTCCAATCGAAGGTTCCTCAGGCCATCAGAGCGGTCTGTGTACTTCTTAGTCCATAAAGTTCACATTTGTCCTCTGAAAAGAACTATATAACGATATCGATGATTCACATTTGAATTCAATGATTTCAAAGAATAGTTTTACCGAAGAAAAAATATGGTTTTGCGTACTCTTGACTCAGTAAAAGGAATTTTCACCATCAACTCTTTTTTCAATGTTGTTTTTAAAGATCTAATTTCGGGAAGAGCAAATCCACATCGAACCTTTTGTCTCATTAACTGCGTTTTATGTATTTCACATTTTTCAAGCGTTAGTTTTAACAAATTATAAGAAAGTTGGTTAAATGTTTAGGTCCAAAGAAGGTCAACTCATCTCAAGAAAGCATAAAGACTATTGTTGTTGTGGAGAAATAAACGGAGATCTCGTATGCATATATCGAAATTTCATTGGAAAAGTTGTTGGATTTTTAATTTTGGATCTAAACTTATCAAGTTATCCCGCTTACCTTGCGCTCTATAGAGGTTATGATTTTAAACTAGGTCTTGAATTTTTTTTTTGATGTTAAAAGAAAAATTTACAACAAAACAACCACTTATTTTGATCCAACTTCAAAAAAAAAAGTGATAAATTGGAGGCTTTACGCAACAAAAGTGCAGACACACAAGTGTATACGCCAGAATGCAGACTCTCACATACAGTAATCCTCGGAAATGGAAAACTCATGAAAAAAACACCACCTCGCAATCTCGTGGCCACTTATCAGCCCATAAGAAGACAGGTGGTAGTTGAAAATCCAAATTTCACCAAAAATTTCAGAAACAAAGTTTTTGTTCGGCAATAGGTTCATGTCTCTATGGGATCTTTTCATTTTTTTCTACCCATTCATTGGAATTTTTGTTCATTGTTTCGAGCTATATCTCATAATTTGGAAAACACCAAAGTTTGTCCACTCGAGGATCCCGCAAGCCATCAGAGCGGTTTGTTTTATTTTTTTTAAAGGATGAAACATTTGACGCTTGAGATGTGCTTTTTTTGTAGATTTGTGAAGGAACCCGTGCTCCACAGGTAATTGAAGCGAGACAGTAGATTTATTAAGATGTTTGTTTTGTTGGTTCAGTCATAGATGGGATCTATTAGGCGGTGAACAAGAACTTTTAAAGTTATAACGAACATCCGTCTTTGGCGAACTTGAAGTCCAAACGGGTAGTTGATCAAGTTGAAAGCATGGTCTTACGGTCATTCGCTTCGTTCTTCTGCTCATAGTCCATCCAGTTGCACCTTGAAAGACTCAAAATGTTGCGCATGTTGTTCTAGATCCCGGGGTCGTGCTCTAGGCGGAAGCCTTGGAATTAGAGCGACCACATCGAGTGCACACGGATTTCATGAAATTTAGCGTGTTTTCCAATAACTACCTCTAGTTCTGAATTTAACTCGAGCCATTTCCAGATTCTCGCGATTCCCATCAATTTCATGACCGTGGATGGCGGTCTCGGGTTTTTATTCATCCCAGAACTAGGAGACGATTGGATGAACCAAAATGTAACAGCACTAGGCAGCGAAATCGTCCAAAGAACGGGTCGTGAGCAGTTTGTGAGTTCAAATAACCATTCAAAAACTTCAACAAAAAAAAAATTCAGCTTTTGGGTTTTGTTTGAAATAAGTCTCATTTCAGACAGGACTCGTCTGGTTGAGCCCATTAAACCTGGCAGCGATCCTTCACATACAGTACGCCAATCTTCGTGGCGTGACCCTCGACGAGTTCAAAAAACCACTTTGGAGATATTGCCTCAACGTTGGCCTTATCTATATCTTTTCCACGGTCTCAGGATATTCAGCTGCATCTTCTGTGAACTGAAAACCCAAAAAAACCAACGATGAACTCGAAATTGCAGACCTCCAAAATTGAATCGGCCGTTCTTCTTGGCTGTTTGCTTTCACAGTACATATATAGCATCATTTATGGTGAGACTATTTTGAAATTCCAAGTGATCATGGGATTTTTCAAAGTTGGGCTGACGTTGAAGTTTTCGTGGGACATTTGGCAGAATTTTAGTCCTTGGAAGGGCATCAATATCTCGGAAAGTACGAGGAAAATGCAGAGGAAAATTTTTCTGGCCATTCAAATTCAGGTGATCTTTTTCTATTCACAACTCCAACCACAGTATTTGTGACTTTTTGCATACAATCATGCTCTATCTATATTTATTTTCCACCTGTAAATGAAAAAAAAAACCAAACTTGAACGATTTCAGACTCTTGTCCCTTTTACGACTATATTTATTCCAACTTCTTATGCTATTCTGCTTCTCACGGGAAGCGTTGTACTCAACCAATTTTTCTGTAACATCAATTCATTTTTGTGCTTTTTATATCTACCAATTTCGGTTTTTGTACTCGTCTTCACACATAAAAATCATCGGGATTGGTTTTTGAAAAAGCTATTTTTATACTTCAAGAGTTGGTTTTATGAAGAGTTCTGACAATTCAGTTTATTCTTCAGGTCCAAATACAGTTAGTTCAGCTGGAGATGATATGAAGACCGTGGTTGCTACTGTCAATTGAAGAGACTATTTTTCTGGATGACTTTAAAATACCTCCAACAGATAAAAAATAGCTCAAGCATTTCCAGTTGTCTCTTCAAAGGCGTTTGAAAATAAATTTTAATGACCATATTTCTTTGAAAATGAAAGATCTGCACATACTCCTTCTTCTTGAAACTTTGAAAAATTGTTTTTTTTAAGATCAGGTACACAAACTAATCAATTTACAACTGATAGCCATCTGACGAAATTTTCAACGTTTCCAAATCGTAAGTTGTGGTTCAAAAAAAGGTCAAGTAAGTTTAATTTTCAGATGAAAATGCAATTGCACCTGCCTACAGTGATAAGAAAACAGCTGCCGAAAAAAGAGCGCCTTTTTGATCATTTTTTAAAAGAGAAATATATCATTTTTGAAGAATATTTATCTCATTTCTACCACCCGAGTGGTCGGTCTTCATTTCGCTCTCGCCTGAGATTTAATCCGACGCCCGTCAGCCCTGGACAAGCTGGGCGCCGTACTGTTCCTACATGGAGAAGCAGTGATTGTCGGAGCGCTCGAAAACCGTTTACTACAATCACAAGAAAAGCGAGATGCTCTACGCGCCGTCTACGCTTGATCAACGACAGTTTCGCAAACCGACGAACAACTCTTCAATTATTCCATGATTCAGCAGAGTACCTTCTCTGAAGACTGAATAAAAGTTTTCAAAGTTTCAAAGAAGAATATTTCGGAGTGTTCTTCCTTCAAGGAAGGCATATCAGTTTACTGTGATTGCAGTAGAACAAGACTGATTTATAGGAAGGACGTTGAAGAAATCGAAGGGTAGTTGAATGAGAGATTTTTCAAATTTGAGCTCATTTAAATCAGTTTGAACTAACTATTGAATGAAAACCTGGTTTTTAATTATTATTTTTTTCATTTGTAGGTTCATTTTCAAAGAATAACTCCACTTCTACTTTTTCGAGATATAAACATGAACAAAGATCCGCCTGACAAACTTTTCAGGAGGATAATTTGGTTGAAAAATAGAAGAAATTACCGATCCGAAGGAGTTTCGAATAGCAGAATTGTCAACAGATTTTTAATGTCTGATGACTGAAAATGACCAATTTTGCGTGGCGATCTTTTAGCATGAGTAAACAGGCAATTATTCGAATTAAATCTGAAACAAAAAACAAAAGAAATAGTCAAAAAGCATAAGTGCATCGGCAAAGATCTCATAATGCCTCCATTGGAGTTTTACTCGTATCTGTACCCATTTATGGGAATTTTCGTCCATTTATTTGAACTGTACCTCATTATTTGGAGAACGCCAAAGTTTGTACAGTCGAGAATTCCTCAGGCCATCAGAGCGGTTCGTTTCTCGTTTTTTAGAGAAAAAGTCCATTTTGTCTCATAATGCCTTCAAGTCCAAAAAGTCCGTTTGACCTCGGAATCCGATAAACAGATCTGAAAGATAGTCCTGGCAACCGAAACTTGCTCAGAGCCTCCAATTTTCGTTACGAAACCCGACATTTAAAAAAAAACTGTTTCGTTAGAATTTACTGTGTTTTTTTTTCCAAACGGACTGAGATCTTACTGTGTTCGCAAGCTAAAGAACAGATTTCCAGCTGCTCGCGATTCCTATCAACATCATGACCCAAGACAGCGGGTTTGGATTCTCCATGATTCCGGATTTGGGTGAAGATTGGGTGAACGTAAATGTAACGGCTTTCAACGACGAAGAGTTGACAAAAACGGTCGGAGGGCATTTCGTAAGTTTTTTCATACCTGGATGTGATTTTCCGGTTTTAGAAAACAGGATTTTGAAGCTCAGACTTGGTCAAATTTCATGTCAATAGAACTCTTGAATTTGAAGTTTTCATTGGCAAAAAAGAGCTTCTAGAAGACCTTCCTTCGAATGATTAATAATCCATTTTTTTCCAGACAGGGCTCCTGTTGTTCAGCCCAATAACTCTCGGCACCATTCTCCACATACAGTATGCCAATCTTCGTTGCGTGACCCTCGACGAGTTCAAAAAACCCCTGTGGAAGTATCGGCTGAGCGTTGGCTTCATCTACATCTTCTCTATCAGCTCGGGATGCTTGTTATCCTTTGCTGTCGGTTATAATCCAAACAGACACGATATTCGATTGGCTACGAAAGAAAAAGTTGCGCCTCTCGAAATGCGCGTATTTTGCCTATTTCTTCAGTTTTTCTATACAACCGTTTTCGGTAAGAAGAAAGAAAAATCGAAAATTCAACAATTGATTTCAGTTGGTTTGACGTTGAAGTTCTCAAGGAGCATTTTGAAAAGTTTCAACCCTCTGAAAGGCGTCAATATTACGGATAATACACGGATTATGCAAAGGAAAATCTTTCTGTCGATTCAATTACAGGTGAACTTTTTGAATTGAAGTTCGAGCATTAAGCTATTTTCTAAATAAGTTTTCAAAGATCTGCGCATAATTGACAAACTTTAAAAAAAAATATTTTCAGACTCTTGTTCCATTCGTGGCTATAATTATCCCAACTTCCTATATAATTTTGCTTCTTTCGGAAAAAGCGAGTCCAAATCGATCACTCTGTATTTTCTGCTGGATTTTGAGCTATTCCTATGTCCCGATTTCTGCCTGTTTGCTCATTTTCACGCATAAAAATCATCGAGATTGGTTTATAAGGAAACTGTCGATATTTGAGAAACGTAAGCTTTATGGTCATTCAAAAACATTCTAACCTTGCTTTTAAGGTTCGAGTATCAAATCCCTGGAAGATAATATGAATACTATCGTCGTCGTACATAAATAAACCTCCGAAGTCCTACTTCTAAAGAGAAACTGCCTGTTAAAAATGTCATTGAAATTTTGCCTCTAAGTCAAATAGTCATATCAAGTGAATAAAATGAAAATTGTTCATCTCTTGTTGAAAGTTTTACACTTGAAGATATGCTATGGCCTGCGTACCACGACTTGGAATTTTACCTTATTCCGCTGTGCCGCTGCGCGCCTTTGCGAAATTCGGTCACGCTTTTAATAAGGTATCCTACTTTTTATTTGCTCCAACAGCAATAACAATAAATTGAAAGCGTAACCTATATTCGAATGACGCTTTGCGAACGCACGCAGCGGAACAGCGGAATGTCGTTCCGTGAAATTTCGAGTCGTGGCACACAGATTATAGCCTTTAATAAGATTTGCATGAAAATCGTTGAAATGTTCGAATATGGGAGCTTTATGCGGAAATAATATAAAAAAAACACAGAAGCCTTTGGAAAAAAAGGTTAAAAAATTAATCCTTTTGCAAAATCCTAGTGTGCTGATCAGTTTGAACTTGGCTGGTGCCAAAACCTGTGCTTTTTTCGAAGTTTCTCATCCCGAGATCTGAATGAAGAAGTCAAAAGTACAACTAAATGTTTCTCTTTTTTTGTCTAACAAAGCAACCCTTGTTAGACAAAAAAAAAGAGCGAAACCTTCTAATTTGAGGAGACTTCGTATAGTTGTCAACAGGTTTTCAACTGACCAAAAGCTTTTTTCCCCTCGTGGCCATTTTCAGAATGAGTAAACTGGCAATTATTAATACTAAAATTAGAACAAAAACTGAGGAAATGCTAGTGAAAAAATATCTATTCCTTGTCCAAAATGTCTCCGTCGGAAATTTTCTCTCATTCTTACCCGTTCGTTGGGATAATTGTCCATTGTTTCGAGCTTTATCTAATTATTTGGAAAACTCCAAAGTTTGTTCAGTCCAGGATTCCGCAGGCCATCAGAGTGGTTAGTTCCTATTTTTTGAAAGATATGAAAAAACTCGATGCAAGCGCTTTTTTTTTGAAAATCCACTTTTTGAAAAAAGAAGCGCTGAAGAAGGTGCGCTCCACAGACAGATACTGTGTTATTCTTATTCTAATTTTTGAGGGGGGTTGGGGGCGGTGCATCTGTTAAGAACCTCACAAGGGAAACCATTCAAAGTTTCGTTTTCTGATGGATGAAAACCATGATTTAACCTATAGGCTACGAAGTCATTAAAATCCATTTCCAGATGCTTGCCATTCCTATCAATTTCATGACTAAGGACAGCGGATTCGGATTCTCCATGATTCCCGATTTGGGTGACGATTGGATGAACGTGAAACTAACGGCGCTTGACAACAAAGCCTTTTCAAAAATGCTTGGAGCGTATTTCGTAAGTTTTTCAAGAAGCTAGCGAAGACCTGAAACTCAACTTTGTGGAAACAATCATTCTGATGAGATTCTCATTCTGTTCTCTTTTGATTTCTAAAAACCAGAACATGATTTTGGGAGCCAAAAAAGTGCATGTCTTTTATAAGCCCGCTGAAAGTTGACGCCAAACTCTGATACTCTTGATAGCTCATGCCTTGAATATATGTTTTTTTCATTCACTCTTCTCTTCAGCAAGGACTCCTCCTGTTTAGCCCGATAACTCTCGCCACGATTCTTCACATACAGTACGCCAATCTTCGTTGCGTGACCCTCAACGAATTCAAAAATTCTTTATGGAGATATCGGCTGAATGTCGGCCTCATATATATTTTTTCCTTCTTCTCAGGAAACTTGTTATCTTTCTCTGCGGCTTATAATCCAAACCAACGAGCAGTTATGATATCTTTTATACACGAAGTTTCAACCAATGAAATGCGCTTTTTCTGTTTATTCCTTCAATTTTTCTATACAATCAGTTATGGTGAGGAGAATAAATGAATTTGAAAAAGGATCATTATTTAAGGTGGCTTGACGTTGAAGTTCTCAAGAGACATTTTACGAAGTTTCAACCCTCTGAAAGACGTCAAAATTACTGATAGTACACGAAAAATGCAAAAGAAGATCTTTCTGACTATTCAAATTCAGGTAAACTTTCCAAAACTGTTTTTTAGAATCGGCAGAACTTGTAGTTTTGAAACGAGATTTAATTTTCTTGAATTTGAGCCATAGATAGAAAACTTGAACAAATAAAAAGTATTTCTAGACTCTCGTTCCATTTGTGGCTATAATTATCCCAACTTCCTATATAATTTTGCTTCTTTCGGAAAAAGCGAGTCCAAATCGATCTCTCTGTATTTTCTGCTGGATTTTGAGCTATTCCAATGTCCCGATTTCTGCCTGTTTGCTCATTTTCACACACAAAAACCATCGAGATTGGTTTATAAGAAAACTGTCAATATTTGAGAAACGTAAGCTTCACAGTTATTTGAAAAATCTTCTAACCTTGATTTTAAGGTGCGAGCATCAAATCGGTGGAGGATCACAGGAATACTGTCTTTGTCGTTCAAAAGTAGACGGTCGTAATTTTCTTTACTGTGGCATAAAAAATATTATCAAAAATAACTATTTTGAACATTTTCATCGACAAATTCAGATCGCGACATATTTTTTGATGCTGATGTTAAAAAATGAAAAAAAAAAACGACCGTCTAATTTTAGAGGCTTTGCGTAGTTCAGGTGTCAACAGATGTTTAATGTCTGAAAATGACCGAAATCTACATTTCCGTTTTGAGCCGATCTTTCATCATCAGTAAACGGATAATTATGAGATTCACGCTAACGAAAAAAAAAAGCAACTGTCAGAAAGAAAAGTGATGCCTCCGTCTGAGATTTTGTCCTTACTTTACCCCGTGCTCGGGATTTTTGTACACTGTTTTGAACTTTACTTAATCATTTCGAAAACGCCAAAGTTTGTTCAGTCAAGAATCCCACAGGCCATCAGAGCGGTACGTTTTTTTGAGTTCACAAAAAAAGCAAAAACTGGAAGAACAATTTTATTTTTTTCAAAAAAATCTTTTTTTAATTGACACGCTTTTTGAATCAAAAAAACAAAAAAAGAATCGACTCTTTTTTTCACAGACAGTCTATGGCCGCGAAAGATTGATTACAATATTTTAGAGCCTCTTTTTCCGAAATTTTTCCGAGATTTTTTCTAAATTTTATCACGGTCTCAAAAAAACTCTAACTCCAATCTTCCCTAAACGAATTTTTTCAGTTGCTCGCAATCCCCATCAATTTTTACAACCAAGAAAGCGGTTACGGATATTCAGTGATTCCTGATTTGGGTGAAGATTGGGTAGACGTGAATTTAACGACGCTTGACGACAACAGATTGACCAGAACTGTTGGAAAGCATTTTGTGAGTTTTCAAAAATACTCCTTCTATTTCAAAGTTTGAGGAATATTCTGAAATGAGATCTTTTGATGTAACAGAATGGTCTAAATTGTAAATTTCAAAACACAAATTTCTTAATTTTCCAAGAAAATCGAAAATTGTAAGTTCTGCAACTTGAGACCAGCAGGACCATTACGTGGAACAACTAGAATTATTAAAAAAAAAGAATAATTTTGAACCTGAGGGAAGCATCAGACTATTAGATGACTAAACGGCTTTTCTTTGCTTCTTGCTAAACTTTTAATAAATTCGCGAACCTCAAATTGTCCGTCTAGGGAATCAAAGAGCTTCTAGAAAGCTGAAAGACTCGAGACGCTCCCAAAAACGAAAAAACATTGGTCTCAAAACGAACATAACTTTCTACGTTTTTCTTATGGATATTATAACTCCGATGTTTTTGGTTACTAAAAATGATCTTTAACAGATCATATTAATTATCTTTCAATGTGAGGATTTTTATGGAGAAATAAAAATATTTTCCGCTTGCCATTTTCATTGAATTTGCGCTGAAACTCGTAGAATTCAATACTTATGAAAAATGGACGCAGTTTTAGGTAGGACTCCTATTATTCAGTCCCTTAGCTCTTGGAACGATTCTCCACATACAGTATGCCAATCTTCGTTGCGTGACCCTAAACGAGTTCAAAAAATCAATTTGGATATATCGGCTAAACGTCGTCCTAATTTATATTTTTTCCGTCACTATGGGACTTTTGTTATCTTTCTCTGTGGTTTACGATGCGAAGAAATATCTGATTCAATTGGCTTTGCAACATAAACTCGCTGTTATTGAAATGCGTATTTTCTGCTTTTATGTTCAGGTCGTTTATACTATTAGTTACGGTGAGTAGAAAAAAAAATGAAATATTCAAAGGTTTATTCAGTTGGTTTGACATTGAAATTCTCTTGGAATATTTTGGAAAGTTTCAACCCCCTGAAGGGTGTTCATATTACTCAAACTACGCGAAAACTGCAAAGGAGGATTTTTCTGGCGATCCAAGTACAGGTACTTTTTGAACTTATTTTCTTCAAAGTCTCAAAAATTCAAGTTAGATAAAATCAAAACAAACGAAAAACTTTGATGAAAAAAAAATTCTCAGACTCTCGTTCCATTTGTGGCTATAATTATTCCAACTACCTATATAATTTTGCTTCTTTCGGAAAAAGCGAGTCCAAATCGATCACTCTGTATTTTCTGCTGGATTTTGAGCTATTCCTATGTCCCGATTTCCGCCTGTTTGCTTATTTTCACGCATAAAAATCATCGAGATTGGCTAATCAGAAAGCTTTCCATAACGGATAAACGTGAGTTTTGTAAAATCAGAATCCAATCATTTTTAATTTCAAGGTTTGAGTATCGCCAGATCGTTAGTCGAAAACATGAATACCGTCGCCGTCGCCCATAATTAAGAATCGGCATCTACTTCTAGGGAGAATTCGCGCCAAGGCCGAACTCCTGTGTCCATTTGAGGTCTTCAGACATTATTACGACACCGAACGCCGTCTAAAATCCTCTAAAAGCCCAACTTGTTCATACGCAGTATTCTACACAAGCTAAGCAACATGGCCTCTTTTCAGTCCACCCGTCCTCACTGTCGTAGAGATACGTGTGAAGGAAGACGCCTATAAATACTTAGGGCGATATTTGGAAACTGTTGAACTCGATACTCCGCCCTCGTTTGAAGTTTGGTCTCGTAAAGGTGATGCGGCTAAGTCGCCAAAAACAGCGATCTGCTCGCGAATCTCCCGCGCCAGAGGTCCGTGGCAAGAGACATAGGTCAAATCTGCTTCCGTGCTTGCAAAGACCTTTGGGTCATTTCGTCCACCCTCAGGGATGGTTCGGACTGCCTTGTTGTTTACCTCAATACAAGCTTCTTCCAACCTTTATGTTCGTCCCTACCTAGAAAACGTTCTTGAAGTCTTTAGCTGGCCCCTTACCAGTGTCTTTTTTTCCCACCTTGAGAAACCGATGGCCATCCTGGTAAAATCGCTCGTTAGGGCTGTTCCATATCGGGTTCCTTTGCACTCAAATATTTTTATTCTGTACCATGTATTTTTGCTTGAGCGAAAGGAATACATGAATAAATAATGTTTTCGTTGTTCAGAAGCCGACCTTGAAGTCCTACTCTTAAAAAGGAGTCACCTCGAACAAAAGCTCGAAATTTTCCTCAAATTTGTGTTTAAAGTCATATAAAGCTGTTAGGATAAAAACCTAAACATTTTTGCTCGCAACCGCTGTTCGCAGATAATTTTTGGATGCATGGGTGGAAAAATAAGGAAAAACTACCAATATTTTAATTTTGGGGCTTTTGAGAAGTGGAGGCGTCAACAGGTGTTTAATTTTTGATGGCTGGAAGTGACTAAAACCTTTTTTCCCCCTGTCGATCTTTCATCCTCCATAAACTGATAATTATGAGAATCCAGCTACAGAAAACAAAACAAAAGCAATAGTTCGAACGAAGTAATGCCTGCGACTGAGATTTTGTCCTTACTCTATCCCGTGTTCGGAGTTTTTGTACACGGTTTCGAACTGCACCTGATTATTTCAAAAACGCCAAAGTTTGTTCAGTCCAGAATCCCACAGGCCATCAGAGCGGTGAGCTATTTCGAAAAAAAAAACAATAAAAAGGTTCATTTATTCGGTTTGCTCAAGCGCCGCAGAACCTGACGGAAAACTAGGAAGAGAGTTTTTTTTTATGAATTTTAATTTTCAATGATCTTTTTATCAAAAAGGGTTGACTGCTCTTCAGAGACAGTCATGAGCGCAAAAGATTGATCCCAATATATGAAATTTTTCTTCAAGATTTTTCAAAGTTTTGTTAAATAAAGCTTCAACTCCAAGTTTCCAAATTAATTTTTTTTCAGTTGCTTGCGATCCCGATCAATTTTTACAACCTGCAGAGCGGTTACGGATATTCAGTGCTTCCTGATTTGGATGAAAATTGGGTTGACGTGAATTTGACAATGCTGAACAGCAACAACTTGACAAAAACTGTTGGAGAGCATTTTGTAAGTTTTCATCACGTCAATTACAAACTTTTAATCGGGTATTCTGAGACGTTGGGTCTTTTTTTCTTGAAAAAGAAAAAATCTGCATTTTGAAATAACCAGGATCATTACGTGCTAAAGTTAGAAGTTTTTGACGAGTTCTCAAAACTTCTTTGCTAATTTCATGGTTCTCATTTAGGCAGGACTTTTATTGTTCAGTCCCATAGCTCTTGGCACAATTCTCCACATACAGTATGCCAATCTTCGTTGCGTGACCCTCGACGAGTTCAAAAAATCAGTTTGGATATATCGACTGAATATCGTCCTTATCTATATTCTTTCCGTCATTGTGGGATTTTTGTTATCTTTCTCTGTGGTTTACCATCCGAGGATATTAATGGCTCCATTGCCTTTCAATTATAAACTCGCCGTTTCAGAAATGCGGGTTTTCTGCTTTTATGTTCAGGTCGTTTATACTCTCAGCTATGGTGAGTACAAATGAAAATGAAATATTTAATGATTTTTTTTCAGTTTTCTTGGCGTTGAAGTTTTCTTGGAACATATTGGAAAATTTTAATCCTCTGAAAGGTGTTAATATCACTCAATCAACACGAAAAATGCAAAGAAAAATTTTTCTGGCCATACAAATTCAGGTACTTATTAAGGTTTTTTTAAAAAGTTCTGATAGAATGCAAAATTACGGTTTGAAGGATCAAGACATACAACGATATAAAATATAAAATATTTAAAACATATTTTCAGACTCTCGTCCCATTTGTGACTATAATTATTCCAACATTCTATATAACTTTTCTTCTTTCGAAAAAAGCGAGTCCAAATCGATCATTCTCTATTTTCTGCTGGTTTTTGATCTATACCTATGTCCCACTTTCTGGCTGTTTACTTATTTTCACTCACAAGAACCATCGAGATTGGCTAATCAGAAAGCTTTCCATAACGGATAGTCGTGAGTTCTATGATGATAATATTAAATCATTTGTGGTTTTAAGGTTTGAGTATTGTCAAATCTTTAGTCGAGAATATGAATACCGTCGTCGTTGCTAATAATTGAAGTTTCGACATCTGCTTCAGAGAAGAAATTTCCTTTTCGCTTGTAAAAAAAAAGTATGAATCTGAAACTTTGTCTCACACATGCATTAATTGTCATATAGCATTGTTTTGAACAAAATAAATTCCATTAGTACCGTCTTTCTTGAGATTGAAGCTTCGAGAAGAATACCAAAAATAGATTATCTTTTAACGGTAAAAAATCTTGAAAGAAAGTTTGGTTCTTTTATTAGTTTTTTCAAGCAAACTATCTTTTATAGTCAAGAAAGCATTGTAAAAAAACAAATAAAAACTTCAGTGATTTCAAAATAGCTATCTCACGTCAATTTTTTCGATTTTTACGGCTCTTTCCTCAGAAAATTACAAAAAATCGGAAAAATGTTTATGCCACTCTATTTTCGAGGTTCACTGTAAGTGCAATCTTTTTTTAGGACCTTTTTCATTACAAGGAAGCAGGTGAAATTAAAAACAGTTGAACTTCCGCTAGAACTTCAATCAGAGCACAAATGTGGAAGGTTGAGGAAAACGGTGGGTCTGCAATTGAATTTTACACCTACTCTTACCCGCTTTTTGGGGTTTTCGTTCACTGTTTCGAACTGTATCTCATTATTTGGAGAACGCCAAAGTTTGTCCAATCGAAGATCCCTCAGGCCATCAGAGCGGTTAGTTTTTTTTTTGTTCCGTTTGAGAAACTTGAATGAGACTTAACACGGTCACTCGGCAAATATACCATATGCGCTTTCTTAGCAAATTATTTTTGTGAGTTTATTTTTCTCAACAAATTTTCCTTCCTTGAAAAAACTACGAGTCTTTTTTCCAAATCAAAATCATCAGAAGTCGGTTTTCAGCTTCTCGCAATTCTCATCGATTTCGCGACTCAAGAAAGCAGTTTGGGATATTATAACATCGCAAATCTGGGAGCCGATCAGATGGACATTGATATAAAACTCATGGCCGGGATAAACGGAAAATTAACAGGAAGCCAACATTTTGTGAGCGTTTTTTCTTTTGCGTCATTCTGAAAATTATAGATTTATTACACATTTTTTAATTTGTTCAAAAAAAGTTTTTGAAGAACTTTATTCGAAATTCAATTGATGCCCTTATCTGATAAGGCTTGTCATGATGTCAAGGTTCATAGCACATTAACGCATAAACTGCGAGCTTTCCTTTTTTATTTGAAAGTATTCAACTTGGTTGAAAAGGCTTCAAAAAAGTTTCACAGGCGAGCGAGAGCTCTAGTAACTATTGTAAGAAATAAAAAATGAATGCATTCTGAAGCGATTCCAAAAGCAAGTAGCCTGATGGTCCTACAACATTTTTAGTTGGGACTCCTGGGGTTCGGCCCATTGAGTCTCGCCGCGATCCTCCACATACAGTACGCCAATCTTCGTTGCGTGATGCAGGACGAGTCGAAAATAGCTTTATGGAAATATCGTAGGAACGTTGGATGGATGTTCATCGTTTCTATGGTCACAGGGTATTTGGTTGCCTCCAGTGTGGGTTGCGACTTTAAAGGCATAGGGGCAGTAAAAAATGGGGTTTCGGGTGAAAGAAGTATCTTATATAGTTTTTCTTTGCGAATCGAATGGTGTACTCAAAAAAATTACAGTGTGACAACTTTAGAAGAAAAACGCGATTTTACTTTCCCGCCATTAATTTTGAAAAAAGCTTTGGATCGGTATGCAGACAACTGTTTACAGTAGTCGTGCACGCGATGTTGCGGACGTCTCATTAAACTCGCATTTTGGGAGAAATAACCGGATTTCTGCTTCAAATTAAGGGTTTCTTCTCTGAAAAATCGATAAAGAAAACAGAAAACACACATTGATAATAAAGAAAACACAAATAATCGCTATCCCAATCGAAACCTGTGTAAAATCATCAATGTTCACCAGAAAAAGCATTTTTTTGCAATCAAAGTTTGCAAATTATACATGAATAGAAAGCTTTTTGTGACGAAAAAGAACTTTGGTGACAACAGAAAAAAATTGGAAATTGAAAGAAACGAAGAAAAAAGCGAAAAATCCGGAAGATGGCGAAGCCTGTTGTCCATAGAGCAAATTTACTGCAAAGCGCCCTTTTCGCGGGAACTCAAACTTTCCTCTCTCCGACTTTGAATTATTTTTTCTTCAAAACTAGGAACTTCTGTACGTTTCCAAGTTCACCGTTCGATTCGCAATGAAAAACTCTAAAAATTACTGCTTTGAACTAAAACACCGTTTTTTACTGCCCCTATGCCTTTAAAAGAGATACATTGAAATATTGGTTCAGGTTCATAAAGAAGTATTTATTCCGGCGCGTGTAGCTCTTTTCTGTTTGCAATCTTCTTTTATAATCATTTATGGTAGAGACAAAAGTCATGAAATGTCAAAAAATGAATTTTCAGTGGGATTGGCTTTGAAGTTCTCCTGGGACATTCGGGAGAGCTTCAACCCTTGGAGCGGGGTCAATATCTCGGAAAACACACGAGAAAAGCAAAGAAAGATCTTTCGAGCCATTCAAATACAGGTATACGTTTCTAGGAGTTCATAAATCTTGAAAAAAATAACTATTAAGTTTATTTCTAGACAATGGTTTCATTTTTAATTATGATTGTCCTATCTTCTCATCGGCTTTTCTCGAATTGGCTAATAACCAAATAGATTTTCTTTAGAGAAGCTGTAGGTTTTTAGTAGCTCCAGCAAACCCGCAAAAGCTCGAATTTTTGAAAAAAAAAAATAAGTTTGCAGACTTTGGTTCCATTCGTGGCCGTAATTTTACCTGCCTCATACGCCATGATGCTTGTTTCGCGAAAAGCAAATCCAAATAAAATTCTCTGCCTCATCAACGGAATTCTTTGCTTTTTACATCTACCGATTTCTGTTGTTCTACTTATCTCTACTCATAAAAATCACCGCGATTGGTTTATGAAAAAATTTTGTTTTTTCCTGAAACGTCGGTTCTATTTTTATTCTTAAAGTCAACGCAGTTAATTTTCAGGCCGAAACGCAGTAGCCCCGGTCGAACATGATATGAAGACGGCCGTCGTAAAATAATAGAAACTGAAGATGAGACATCTTCTTTCCTGTTCGATATTGGACAATACAAGGAAAAACTAATTTGTATCAGTACTCTCGTGATATTCAAGCCTTGAGAACAGCAATTTTGGTGTGGGTCCAAGCTGATTGGAAAAGTACAAGCATTTTATTAGTTCTAATAAATTTACAAAGTATCGAGCTGAAACCAGAAGAGACAACCTGGTTCTACGTTCCCTTGGTGATCTTGGAACGTAAAAACCAGGTGATAATGTATAATTCCGGACTTTTGAGATTCACAAGCAGCGAAAAATGTCTAGTGCTGACGGGTATTATGGTTCTTATTTGGAAATTATTGCTCAATTTTATTCCTTTTTTGGGATTATGGTTCATTGCTTCGAAGTGTACATAATCCTTTGGAAAACGCCACAGTTTGTTCAGTCGAAGATCCCTCAGGCCATCAGAGCGGTTCGTTTTGAAAACTGAAACCTCACTTGGCACGATTTGAAAACGTCTGCCTTTATTTGTATGTTTTTTTTATCGCACAGAAGAAAAAAGAGAGCGTAGATACTATTTCGAATTGCAGCCTGTAATCTTTGGCAGTGAACGTTTTGTGAGTTTCTTTTTTTTTCGTGGCCATCGGAAGCGTAAATTTTTGAAAATGACCGTGTTCGAATCCCAATGCTTAAATCCTTTTAAGTATTAAATCACAAAGAACGAATCCTAAATTGAAGTTTTTTTTTTCTGATACCTCTCTTTTTTGATGATCTGTGATTTCTAATATTGAGAAAAAAAAAATTACGGATATAGCTCGAACACATACAAAGTTGCAAAACTTTATTTCAGATTGGACTTGTCACCTTCAGCCCGATAATTCTTGCTGCGATCCTCCACATACAGTACGCCAATCTTCGTTGCGTGACCCTCGACGAGTTCAAACAGCCTTTATGGAAATATCGGCTGAACGTTGGTCTTATCTATTTTTTCTCCGTTTTCTCAGGACTCTCGTCTTTAATGTCTGTGGGTGAAAATTCAAAGAAAAAAATTTGAATTGTTTTTTTAAGGTGGTCAGAAATGGAACACGTTCCGCTCGCACATTCGGATTATGTATTCAATACATTTATACTATTATTTATGGTAAATTTTTGAACTTCTAATGAATTATGTATCCAAGGAATTGAAACGCCTGGGGTTTACAAATTGTTCAAGACCTCTTCTTTTTTTGAAAAATTTTTTTCCAATTTGGGTCATGGTTATATGTAATGATGATTTTAGAAAAAAAGGGAACTCTTGGTTTTCAGAGAAACTTTTGGATTTTTTGCGCAATTGGAGAGTTTTATGACCTTTTTTTGTTATAAAACCACCAGATATTTCTTTATTTTCTAAAAGTTCTGTTTTGAATCCATTAAACAGCGAAGAGCGTTAAGTTGCACTCCATGAATGATTAGGGCGCTTCGCTTCTCTTTTCTGTAGGGATGAGACTATTTTGATGATTTTTTTCCAGTTAGTTTTACGTTGAAATTGGCGTGGAACATTTGGGAAAACTTTCGCCCGTGGAAAGATGTCAAAGTATCTGAAAGCACTCGAAAGATACAAAAGAAGGTTTTCATGGCGATTCAAGTACAGGTGAGTTTTTGCCTGATCGAAAGATAAAGATAACTCAGAAATTTGTTACGAGAAAAGATTCTTTTAGATCCCATTTTGATTATATTTTCCTACACCGTTTTTTTTTCAATCGTCCAAAGACCATGATCAAAATAAAAAAATATTTTCTCTTTTTTTTTTCAAGACATGTCTTTCATTTTTTAGACTCTGGTCCCGTTTGCGGCCATAATTAGTCCATCATCCTATGCCATTTTACTAGTTTCGGGAAGAGTGGATCAAAATCGCATCCTTTGTCTTGTCAACTGCGTTCTATGCTTCCTACACTTGCCAATTTCTTTCTTTTTACTCATTTTTACCCATAAAAATCACCGCGATTGGTTCATCAAAAAGCTTTTCAAGGCTTTGAAACGTTAGTTGTCTTATAAAGTCAACTCAATTATTCGTTTTTTTCAGGTCCAATTTCAGTTGCACCAGAAGAAGATAATATGAAAACTGTTTTTGTCGTCGAAAAGTAGAACATGGAATCCGGATATCAAACTGTTCCTGAGAGGGTTTATTTCGACCTGCCGTGATAATTTGAGCTATATTTTCCATTTTTTTTTTCTTGATAAAATATTCATTCATCTGAGAAATCACAATGTTTGTTGATTGAGTTTGAAAGAATATAAATGGGCCTTTTTCAATTTTCTGAGAGTTGAGCCGAGAAGTCGATGATTTTTCAGCTTCTTGCGGTTCCCATCAATTTCTTGGCAAAAAGGCGGCCTCGGCTTTTCAAACATCTCCGAATCGGGGGAGAATCTTGTCAGCGAATATGTTACGTTGATAACTATTTCATGTTTTTTTTTTAAATTTTTCCCTCGACCCTAGGAATGAAACTACTAACGAAAATGAAGGTTTTCAAGATTTTAATTAGGTTTCAAGCAAGATCGAAAATGATGATTCATCGTTTCTAAGAAAAAATTTCAAAAACGTGCTGACGGATTTTTTTTTTTGAACTTTAGACTAAACTATGCTCACGTTTCCCTAGCTACCTGCAATCAGAAGTATCCAGGTGATAATTAAAAAGTATCAAAGTTTTCACTGAGTATTGTCTGAAAAACACAACATGTTGATACTTAACGGTCACGTTGTTTCTTTATTGGAAGTTTATACCAACATATATCCATTTATCGGGGTTTTCGTTCACTGTTTCGAACTGTATCTGATCATTTGGAGAACGCCGAAATTCGTCGAGTCGAAAATTCCTCAAGCAATCAGAGCGGTGAGTCTCATTTCTTTGTTTTCTAAGTTCAAAGTTATACAAAAAAGCAACTTCTAGGTGCTCGCGATCCCTATCAATTTCATAAGTGGAGACAGCGGCTTCGGATTTCTGAGTATTTTAGAGCTAGGAGACAATTGGATGTATGAAGACGTGTACATGATCGGCGGGAAAGGCGGCGTGATCAAAGGAATTCAAGAATTTGTGAGTTTTCTCGAAGCTTGAGCTATCGAGATGGGTTCCAATTGGAACTATCAAAACAAAAGTTTTGCATCATATTGAATAGAATCAGCAGTTTTCTTCTTACTCTTGAGCATGCCTTCCAGTGGGGAATCCTTCTGAGCAGTCCGTTGAGTCTCACCGCGATTCTCCACATACAGTACGCCAATCTTCGTTGCGTGACCCTCGACGAGTTCAAAAAACCTTTATGGAGATATCGGCTAAATGTTGGCTTGATTTATACTTTCGCCACATTCACAGGCTATCCAGTTGCTTTTGCTGTAGGTCATTGATTTTAAATAAAGTATCAATCAATTACTTCAGACAGCCAAAAATTCAGACCTCAAAGTTCGCCTTTTCAGCTTTATTCTTCATTTCATTTACAGTACCATATATAGTAAGAAAAATAATCAATTTTTTTGAAATCGAAAAAAGTTTCAGTTAGCTTGGCTTTGATGTTTGCCAAGAATATTTGGAAAAAAATTTCAATCCTTTTCAAGGCGTCAATATCTCAGAGTGCACACGAAAAAAATGCAGAGGAAAAATTTTTTTCTGGCCATCCAAATACAGGTTATTAGATCAAAGTTTTTTTGATCGATTATTAAGTTAAAAAACCAGAGAGCTGAAATTATTAAACTGGAATTTGATTTGAAAAAGGGAAATTTTAAATTTCAAGACCATGGTCCCATTTTTGGCAATCATTATTCCATCTACTTACGCCATTTTGCTTCTTTCGGGAATGATGAATCGAAATCGAATAATTTGCTATCTCTGCTGTTTTCTATGTTATTCCTACCTACCAATTTCTGTTTTTATACTCATTTTCACGCACAAAAATCATCGCGAGTGGTTTATAAAAAAGCTTTTTGAGCATCCAAAACGTAGGTTTCTGTTAAAGTCCTCCAATCAATGGGGTTTCCAGGTTCAAATGCAATTGTGACAGCTGAGAAGAATATGAAGACGGATATTTTTGTCGTCGAAAAATGAAATTCGAACACTGAATTGAACATAAATTTGTTTGTTCAAGGGGTGAAAATTATCTTTATTTGTTTTTGTTTGGTAAAGTTCATTTTTTTTACCGCTTCAAATTGTTTGTTCAAAGCTATTTTCTATTATTATTGCCTAGAATGTTTTTTCAGTCAGTTTCTATTTGATTGAACTAATTTTTGGAAATAAACCATTTTCTTGTTTTTGACATAAGAAAAATAGCAATAAATCGCACTTTTTTTCTTCGCGAGTTTCGACGGTTTTCAACTTTCAAAAAACAGGTGAAAAGTTCAACACACGTCAGCTTGAAAAACCCAGGTGATATTCAAAAAACTAGCAGTTATTACATAAAGCTTCCATAAAAACGTGCAAGAAAATGTCGCTAGGAGATAAATTTGAAGATTCTTTTCTGGGAAATCTTTCCGCCCTTTACCCTTTTCTTAGGTTGATTGTTCATGGCTTCGAGCTGTACCTCATCGTTTGGAAAACTCCGAAATTCGTCGAATCGAAGATTCCTCAGGCGATCAGAGCGGTTCGTTTTCTTTTTTAAATTTAAACTCAAATGTCTTGAATATTCTCTTGACTTGTCAGTACATTCTTTTTTGCTGTCTGTATGAAATTTGATATGATTTCTTAACCTTGGATGAAGGCGGATTGTCGATTTTGAGGTTCTTGCGATTCCTATCAATTGGATGACTCAAGATGGTGGCCTGGGATTTTCGAACATCGCGGAATGGGGAGAGAACTGGATGGACGCAAATTTAACGATACTTGGCGATCAAATGACGGGTCGAGATCAATTTGTGCGTTTTTTTAAAATTTATTTTAAAGCGGCAGCTACCTCATAACCAGATCCTTAGTGGATAAAAATTTAGTAAGTGCTTGGAAAAGACTAAAAACCCCCTTGTGGGGTTCACCGTACCTTTACGCTGCTTTCTCTCAAACTTACTCAGGCCTTTCGAAATTTCTCAAAAATAAAAAAAACCCGAAAAAATAGTCTTTGTTTCGCTTTTTTGGGACAATTTTCAGTAGTTTGCACATTCTCGGAGTGCTTTTGTTCAGTTGTGTCTCGTATGGTTCAGTCCATTAAGCCTCGCGGCGATTCTCCACATACAGTATGCCAATCTTCGTTGCGTGACCCTCGACGAGTTCAAAAACTCTTTGCGGAAGTATCGACTGAATGTTGGCCTCGTCTACTTTTTCTCAGTCGTCTCGGGGCTTCTGTATCATTTTTTGATGGTTTCATACACATCCAAAAAAAAAAATCAACTTATCTGCTTCAGAACATAGCAAGCAAAAGCATTGAGATTCGTGTTTTCTTCTTGCTCTGTTACTACACTTATGCTTTTACCTATGGTCGGTAAGAATTTGAAATTTCTCAATGAGAGAAAGTTCTTACAGTTGGCTTGGCTCTGAAGTTTTCTTGGGACATTTGAGAAAATTTCAGGCCCTTCAAAGGCGTCAATCTCTCAGAAAGTACGAGAAAAATGCAGAGAAAAGTTTTTCTGGCCATCCAAATACAGGTTATCAAATCAATTTTTTTTGATTGATTGTTTTGTTGAAAAATCAGACTTTGGTCCCATTTTCGACGGTGATTATTCCATGGTCTTATGCCATTTTGCTACTATCAGAAAGGATGAAGCCGAATCAAACTATTTGCAATATCAGTTCTCTTCTCTGTTTCTCATATTTACCAATATCTGTTTTGGTGCTCATCTTGACTCATAAAAATCACCGGGATTGGTTTATGAGAAAACTATTTCCATTTAGAAAGTGTAGGTTTCCCCAAAAAAGTATAGTTATATCATGTTTTTCAGGCTCGAAACCAGTTGGCCAAATATTATGCAAATGAATCAGCTCCCATTGAATAAGCATTTATAAATACGAGAAAATATTGAAATGAGGAAAAATTCGAGGAGCAAATGAAAAAACATTTTATATACCTCGAAAAACCTAGCTTCAGAAAAAAACAAATGATGGATAGAAAGCAGAAATTTCAGAAAAAAACCTCGTATGGCGAAATTTTTTTGTTTCAATCCGCAAAAACAATCAAAAAAACTAGAAAAAAATATATAATTTAGATGATTCATATATCAAAAATCATTAAACGGCATCAGCAAATTCAATTTGGCTCTAATTTACACGAAACCGGTTTTAAACTACGTCAAAGGAACTAGATAATAACTTTTTTTATTATTAACTGATTAAATTAAAAAAACTATAGTTTCCGAAATAGAGTGACTCTTTTCATGTCGCGAAAAAAAGATTTCAAAAATTTTGAAAAAAATTAGGACTTAGAAAAAAATCTTCAACTCTTTTTGAGAAAAAAGTTAAAGATCTGAAACCGGTTTAGAAAAATGCGCAATTTGAATCTCCACAAGATGTACCCATAGAGAGGCGGATCACATAAATGCAAGAAATAGAAAAAAGTAAAAAACCAATGAAAAAAGTGAAGAAATTCAATTTTTGCATCAGAAACGATGAGAAGGGCGCAATAATGCGCCACGGATAATATGCCGCTGGGACCCAAAATTTCGCATTTTTTTTTCACTGCGCGGAACACCGTGTTGGACCAGTCGTAGATAATATGAAAAACTACCGTTGTTGTGAATAAATAATCACTGTTAAGACTAAATTTTGAGAAGAATTTTTAAAAATGAGAAAAAGACCAGATCGATATTCTACCTCACACACTTTTCTCGTAAGGGAAATGTACAACGAAATCACATTGATCGACTTTTTTTATGAATAACTTATTTCTTGGAAGTTCACAAAAGACTGATCTTGAAAAATAATGAAATTATAAGATTAATGTAGTGATAATTTCACTGATTTTTTTGACTCATATAATTTTTTTGCATGTCTAGTTCAACATATATTTATCAAATTAAAAACTTTATAATAATATTATTTTTTTACAGGCGGAATAAAAATAATATTTACAAGAAAAAAAGAAGGAAAAAAATTGGCATTTGAGCCTGCAATAAATAAATAACTTGATTGTTAATATCGAGAATTTTTTTCGGTTAATAACTGCTCTCAAAAATAAATTTGTTTTTTTCCAATATTTTTTTGCAGTATAACATTTCCTGACACTTAGAGGTATTTGATTAAAAACACTCCAACTACAGAAAAATCCTGATTTCACGTTACCCGGGCGACCTTTTAACTTATAAGAAACCAGGTGTTAATTCGAAAACCTTTAGATTTCTTTCTTCGTAAGGCAAAGACAAAATGTGGCTCGGCGACCGGTTTGGTATACCTTTGCTAGAATTTTTCACCTTTTTCTATCCAATATTTGGCATAATGGTTCATTGTTTCGAATTGTATCTGATCATTTGGAAGACGCCCAAGTTCGTCCAATCAAAAGTTCCTCAAATCATCCGGGTGGTTTGTTGATTATTTCTTAGAGAGGATACGGGGAGGAAGGCAGGGGCTTGCAACTTTCTCATTAACTGGTCGATTTTCAGTTTCTTTTGATACCCATCGACTTCTTCACTCAAGACGGCGCTGTAGCATTTTTATACGTGCCCGATCTTGGCGACGATTGGATAAACGAGAATATAACTTTGTATGGCAAGGAAATCTATGAAGTACCGGCCCGTCAACAGTTTGTGAGTGCTGTCCGAAAATTACTTTAGTTTTCATGAACTTTTCAAGTGGGGGCTCATCTTCTTGAGCCCGATAAATCTCGCGGCAATTCTTCACATACAGTACGCCAATCTTCGCTGCGTGACCCTCGATGAACTCAAAAAACCATTGTGGAAATATCGGCTGAATGTCATTTTTATCTATTTCATCTCTTTGATCGCGGGAATTCTAATTATGGCTCCAGTAAGCAAAAGAACAGCAAAAATTGTAACCTGAAGTTTGCAGACCACAAGAGTCGAACCTGCCGTTCGTCTTTTTTGCTTGCTTTTTCAGTATTTGTATACTTTGTTTTACGGTGAGAAAGAAATTGCTACATTGATGATTTTTTTTTCCAGTTGGTTTCGCGTTGAAGTTTTCCTGGGACATTTGGCAAAGCTTCAGTCCTTGGAAGGAGGTCAGAGTGTCGGAAAACACGCGGAAAATGCAGAGGAAGATTTTTTTGGCCATTCAAGTTCAGGTAGAATCATTAAAGTATTCTTTTACGAATCAGAAATTCATGCTAAAACTGCCCGACTAATTATCTAGTTAAAAATAAACGTTTCCAGTTTTACGTCGCTTTATAATCCAACTTTCGGCGAAGTATTAAACTGTTTTCACAGAGAAAAAAGCTACCTTTGGTAGTGTCTATTACAAAGTCGAATTTCAGACTTTGGTCCCATTTTTGGCTATAATTATTCCGACTTCCTATGCCAGTTTGCTAATTTCGGGTAGAGTAAAACCTAACCGAATTTTATGCTTTTTCAACTTCATTTCGTGTTTCTTATATTTACCACTTTCTTTTTTTTTACTCATCTTCACACACAAAAATCATCGGGATTGGTTTTTAAAGAAGCTTTTCGCGGGTTCTCAACGTGAGTTTTCCTCTTGATAAACATAAAATAGGTTCTTTTTAAGGTCCAAATGCAGTCAATTCATCTCAAGAAAGTATGAAGACGGTTGTCGCTGCCGAGAAATGAGCAAATATTTCGTTAATTCTATTGAAATAATCTGTAGATATGATCGGAACAATTCAAAAAAACTGGGAAACTCCTTCAGATGTTCATAGAAGATGTTGAAATAAAGTTTCTCAAATATTTTATTCAACGATGAAAAAAATCAAAAATAGTTGAAAAAAAGAACTAGCCACTTCACGAAGCGTCTGGAAAAAAAGATATTTTTGAAGAAAGAAAATATTTTTTTACATCGGGTTTGGACGAATCCTTTGGACAGGGTCACGTGCATTTTGTCAGTGGGTTTTATATTCCGGAGGCGATCATTTCCGCAGCCTCTGAAATCATGGGTACAAAACTAAAAGTTCGGACTTTTTCATATTTTTCACACTTTTAACGAACCTTTTTTTTAAGCACTGATTTCGTCGTTCAAGCTTTCAAATGTTAGCTTTGATTGTAAATTCACGGGTCTATTTTTGAACTGCAAAGAAGTTTAGACTTCTGGAGTCTTACGGATTTGAAAGATTGTTGAAATTTGAAAAAAAAAACCCTATTGGACCGTCGAGTATGATGCCGACCAGGAGCACGGATTTCACGCAACTGTAATAGGGATAACGGTGACTGTACTTGTAAATCCATCTGCCGTCCACATAAATATGGTAGTCGTCTGCACCGACGCTGAATTTCGAAATTTATGCGAATATCGAAGGTGGAATGAAATGTTTCCCTTCAAGTACCACCTCTACGCGGTGATGGGGAGGCAACGCCATTTATGGCGGCTAACGGTACACCGGTCACGCAGTTCGGCTTGCTTCTGCTAACAGAATGGGCGGTCTTTTTTAGCCCTGGCAAGGCAAAAAGGATAGTCAGACCAAAATTATGCTATAACACGTTCAACACCACGGATGGAACTTTTTCGCAAGAATACCAGTCAACCAGGACGACAAAACTGGATGACCGATTGCATAAGACCTCCTGGAAAACGTGTGGTCCACGCTTCGATCAATAAAAGGCACTAAAAGGCAATAAAAGGTCGAAAGCGAAAATGGACCATCTAAGTATCTAAGTAAGAATGAAATGTTTATTTTTATTTTTATAGTCCATCCATTCCGACTTGAGAGGCGAAGGAAAAGGGATCAGGACGCGTAACGTGCGCGTTCGCGGTTTTCGGCACGATTATTTTGAGGGCTTGTTTATCGCTCTTTACATTTCTATGTTGATTATTTACTGATAATTTTCATGTGCGCATTAAAAATAGTATAATATACACAAGAAAAGCGGTGACCAAGCTTTTTAAACAGTCGGTGGCGATTGCATTGAACTCGTGCCAAAAACCACGTACCGCACACTTCTCAGCCTCCTTCGTCTTTCAGTTCGAGATGGATTGACTATATGAAAAGGGAAAAAAAGAAGTTGTGTTCGAATTTTATTCATATTTCAATTTCAATTTCAATTTATTCAGTCTTCAGAGTAAGATGAAGAAAATCTCTGCTGAATCATGGTATAATCGAAGAGTTAGTCGTTGGCACGGGTTACGGTCCACAATCGCTGTCCAATAAGTCCCGGAGTGACAGGAATAAACTGCTTCACCATGTTGGAACAGTACAGCGCCCAGCTTGTCCAGGGCTGACGGGCGTCGGAATATTATCCCATGAGAGAGCGGCAATGAGACCGACCAGTCGACGTGATGAAATGAGATAATAATAATCTCATTTATTCATATTGCCCGCAGAAAACTTACTTTATCTCCATCTTGAAACTTTTTCTCTGTATTGGCATCGGCACGATTTCCTCATTACCCAGCCAATCTGTCTAAACCAAACCAAGATTACTTTTGAAATCGAAAATAATCTTGTAGATGTTTCAAAAAAAGTTTTTTCAACAAAAAGAAAAATTATTTTCTTGGTACCCACGCCGAATGAACGAAAAACAAGATGATTTTCTGGAAACCGTGGATTTATGTGAACAGATAGAGGATTTTTGGGAACTGGGCAGTCGCCTTGGCATAAATCGACGGCCAAGCTGCAAAGATACTTTTTATTTTCTAGAATGATTTTCTTTAACTGACCGATCGTAAGCTGGATCAGGATATCCGTAGATCGTGATGGTGTCTCCGATTTGAAGATACGCTCAAGTGAAGCATATTCGCGTCCCAGCGCACGTTCCTGAATATCAACAAATATTATTTTTTGTCTCTTTTTTTTCATATTTCCACTTTTGGCATTTTTTCTCATCAATATGCATAAGCTTGAAACAAATTCAACGCGTAAAGCCTGCCCATTTTTCATTTAGAAATGGATAAATACGTTTTTTGTAAGCGTATCTTTTTGTAATTTTTTGTATACGTATCTCCCTTTCCGAGCTTAAAAAAAGTGAAAATAATTCTTTCATTGCGGAATTTAGATTGAATTTTTAAATAGTCAGCACTTCAGGAAGTTGTTTAGTTGACTTCTTATTCGAATTGTTTTGGTATATGTAGAGGTTGGTTTTCTTCGATTTCGTATTATTCTATTGGAGTTAGCTTTCATCTTACTTTTGCATTGAGAAAATTATGCTGTAATCTTTAAAAAGTATCCCCCAATCATTGAAATCATTAATAAAATGTCTTTCTAATTTATTATTGAAAGCTGCGCCAAAACATGTTCAAAGGCCAATCGCCAGGAGGATACAGTTAGCTACCTGGTAGCCACTAACTGCGTAGGCTAATCGGTGGTCGTTTATTAGCTACCGGGTACTATCTCCATGGTACCTGGCTACTACCGTGTAGGTATCTGACATTTTCGATCGCTATCGGATAGTCTGACCATGCTTCGCGAAAAGTTTTTTTTTTTCAAAGTAGTCTATTAAGATGTTCTTGGAACGGTTTACAAAAACACTGGTGTTATATGAACCACCGATGCAGCAGCCAGTAGCAATTGCAAATTACAGGTACCCACACGGTAATACCTATGTACCATAGAGATAGGGCCCGGTAGCTAATGAACATCTACCGAATAGTATACCCGGATTGACTTTAAAAAAGCTACCCGATAGTCTACTTGTATCTTTCTGCCGACTGACCACTGCGGAAAATCAAGTAAAGGGTAGAGAAAATTTTTTAACAAGCAGTTTTCAAACTTTTAAAGCGGTTGACTCCTCTAATGTTCATAGAAATGAACAAACCGTCCCGTAGCAGACTAAACCATCACCGTAGACCAAGGAGATGAAGCTTAGAGCTGAAACCACCTCCAAGAAAGTCATCGAAGAAGAATGGCAAAATTTTCCTTTTTTCCGAAGGAGGAAGCGGATCCATCATTCTCCCAATAAAAACTTTGTTACATCCTTTTTTATTAAAGTTTTAATGGCGAAAATCTTCATTTTAATGTCATGGTTTCCTGAATCTTCGAGGGAAAAAGCTTTATGGTTTTATCAACCAATCAAATTTTTTTATTTGAGTTTCAAAGTTGAAATTTTTTTTCTATTTCTGGTCAGAGAACGATTTGGATGATCCTTCAGATTGTAGACTTACGCTCTTATCATAATTTTCAAAAATAGTGACAATGTGAATTTTGAAACGTTTATCTTAGTTAACATGAAATGGGCTTCTCAATTCATCTCAAGAAAGTATGGAGACGGTTGTCGCTGACGAGAAATGAACAAATTTTTTTCTTTATTTTCAGAAGAATTATCTTTAGAAATAATTGGACAAATTCAAAAAAATTTAGAAATTTCCTTGAGATGTTCATATAAAATGCTGGCAATAAAATAAAATCTTTCAAATTTTTTATTGACCCATGAAAATTCTCAATCGTTGTAATTAGCCACTTCACGAAGCGTCTGGAAAAAAGATATTTTTGAAGAAAGAAAATATTTTTTTTACATCGGGTTTGGACGAATCCTTTGGACAGGGTCACGTGCATTTTGTCAGTGGGTTTTATTCCCCCGAGGTGATCCTTTCCGCAACCTCTGAAATTATGGGTACAAAACTAAAAGTTCGGACTTTTTCATATCAACGGTGTGCCTCAGAGAAAAATGATTTTGTTGTTTAAGTTTCACATTTTCCTATGAATAAAAAGTTAAAAAAAAAACGAACCCTATTGGGCCGTCGAGTATGATGCCGACCAGGAGCACGGATTTCACGCAACTGTAATAGGGATAACGGTGACTGTATCTGTAAATCCATCTGCCATCCACATAGAGATGGTAGCCGTCTGCACCGACGCTGAAAATGATTTTTTTTTAGTTTGAAAACTCTCAATGATTATCAGGCCGCGAATGTTAAAGGTAGAGAGAAATCAGAAGCCCGAAGCCAAAAGAAAAAAACTTCTTTCTGATGTTTTCGAAAAAGGTAATGAAAAAGACCCCGTGTTCGAATTTTATTCATATTGCCCGCAGAAAACTTACTTTATCTCCATCTTGAAACTTCTCCTCTGTATTGGCATCGGCGCGATTTCCTCATTATTTAGCCAATCGCCCTGAACAAAACCAAGAGAACTGTCGAAATCGAAAATATTATTATGGACGTTCCGAAAAAAGTTTCTGCTCACATAATCCAAAAAAAAAAAGATTCTCTTAGTCCTCACCGCGAATGAACGGAAAACAAGATTATTTTCTGGGAAGCGTGGATTTATGTGAACAGATAGAGGGGTTTTGGTCCAAACTGGGCAGTCGCCTTGGCATAAATCGACTGCTAAGCTGCAAAACGATAACTTCCATTTTCCAGAATTAATGTCTTCCGCTGACCGAACTTGAGCTGGATCAGGATATCCGTAGATTGTGATGGTATCTCCGATTCGGAGAGTACGCTCAAGTGAAGCATATTCGAGTCCTTCCGGCACGCGCTCCTGAAATTCAACAAATCTGTTTTTTTTTTTGCCGCTTTAGTTCATATGTGACATGGGGCGTAGCGCAGCTGGTTGTGTGCCTGTCTATGGTCCATGGGGTTACAAGTTCGATCCTCGCCTCGACCCAACCAAGGGGTTCGAAAAATGTTAGTGGCGCGAAAAACCACGGCTTCAAAATCTCCAGCCGTCCCAAACAAAGACGGATATGTTACTATAGTCACTCCACTGATCACCACTGATATCAGGATAGGACCTCGGTTAATCGACTTGAAGTACGAAGGCGTGGGAAGAAGAAGAAGTTCATATGTAAAATAGATATGTGCTAAACAACTCCGTCCTTTTCTCAAATATTATTGCGTCTCTCTTCATCAGGATGCATAGGTTTGAAACAAATTCAACGCATAAAGCATGTACTTCATTTGAATTTGATTTCTCAAATTTTTTTGTAAACCTATCTCTCACTTTCCGAGCTTACTTTTACCCTCAAATACTAAACGAAATCTTCTTTTGGTGTGAAATTTTTATTAAAATTAACAATACGATGGTCTTTTTTCTTCAGAATCTAATCAAGAATAAGTCAATAAGGTAAATAATGATAGGCGGAAAGGCTACTTGGGGCTACGTAACTTAAATTTTTTGGGTTCAGAAGTTGACTTTTTTCGATTTTGCGGTGTTTTATTGAAATTAACTTTCTTATTACTTATTCATTGAAAAATTAATGATGAAATCTTTATAAAAGTGGCATGCTCAATTTTCATTAAACTTACACCTGCGTCAAAACATGAATTGAAACAACAAGTGAAGAGTAGAGAACTTTTTTTACAGGTCGTTTTTTAACAGTATTCTTCATTGATCAAAGAAATAAACGAACCGTCCCGTAGCAGACTAATCCATCACCGTAGACCAGGGAGATAAGGCTTAGAGCTGAAACCACCTCCAAGAAAGTCATCGAAGAAGAATGACAAAATTTTCTTTTTTTCCGGAGGAGGAAGCGGATCCATCATTCTCCCAATAAAAACTCTGTTACATCCTTTTTTATTAAAGTTTTAATGTCGAAAATCTTCATTTTAATGTCATGATTTCCTGAATCTTCGTAGAAAAAAGCTTTATGGTTTTATCGACCAATCAAAATTTTTTATTTGAGTTTTAAAATCGAAATTTTTCTATTCCTGGTCAGAGAACGATTTGGATGATCCTTCAGATTGTAGATTTCTTTTCAACATGTTTCAAAATCTTCCACAATTAAATATGCTTCTGATTGGTTGCGAGACATCAATGACGACTGAAAGTGAAGAACGAGAAAGCTACCACTTCTCCGAAACAAGTTAAGATTTTTCATATTCAGCTTGAAATATGGGAAGTGACGCCAACGGGTCGGTTGTTGTTGGGATCGGTCTTTTTGTCTATTTTTAAGATAAAAAATCATTGCTTGAGGATGATTTCCGACCAATACGATCAATTGAACAGGTGGATTAGCTAAAAAATCGCGAAATTGCTCGAGTTGGAGTGCCAAAACTGAGTCTACTAAGATTTCTTGAGGTTGTCTCACTAGGGAATGTTTTTTTTCGGTTGATGAACCTTTGCTGAAGCGTACTTTGGGACCCCTGATTCGAGATCAGAAAGAAAATTTCTCGATAACATCTTCAAGAATGTTTTAAAAGAATCAAAAATGGGCAATGAAGCCTGAAATAAATAAATTAATGCCATTGAGGCCTTCACGAGCCTCTGAGTCAGTGTAGAGAGTCAAACGCAGGAATGTCGTGGCAGAATACAAACCGAGAGCTGAGGAATTCACAAATGTTGTTATTTGAACTGGTTGCGATTTTCCTTTCATGATTTATGATCTAACGTACTGTTCTTTGGGGGAGTTTGGCGGTGTTTTATTCAAAACACTCGACCAGAAAAAATTTACAAACTGAAACATTCAAGAAATTTGAAAATTTCGGGAGAAGAAGAACAAGTGCAATTATGGACCTCCTTTATTGCGTAGCACGAGGAGGAGTCAGTTGTCCGGTATATTTTCATTTAGGAACTTGAGAAAATTCACAGGCTAAGTCCAGAAGGACCTAAAAAGTTTTTTTCAGAGAACCTTTATTGGAGAAAAAAAAACTGGAAAAAAGGGGAGAAAAGGAGGTTCAGAAAACTTTTAACACCTTTTTAGGAACTCAAAAAAGAGCTTCAGATTATTCTTTTTGAGGTCGTTTGGACATCGACCGTTTTCTAGAATGAGAAGAATTGATTATAACACTTAATTTGATCATTGAGACGTCAAAAATGCTCTGAGGACATCAAAAACACCATTGTGACACCAAAAATAAACTATCACGATTGTCTTACAAAGATTGCCGAAAAAAGGCACAACCACAGTAGCGGGCACGGATCTCCTTAAAGCAACGTCGTTTAAGTACCGTGGCTCGAAGATCGCCCAAGACGGCTCAATTTTAAATGATGTTTCCGCACGCATACAAGGTGCCTGGATAAAATGGAGATCCACGACTGCCGTGATGTGTGACCGACGGATGAGCGACCGACTCAAATCGAAGATATACCGCACAGTGATCCGACCAGTAGCGATGTACGGGACCGAATGCTGGCCGGCGACAGAGAAGGACGAAGTAAAAATGGCAGTCATGGAAACAAAGATGGACCGCCGGAGTCACGAGACTGGACCACGTGAGGAACGAGAACATACGAAATCGTTTCAGAGTGGCGCCGATTCGCGAAAAGCTACGTGAGAATCGCCTGAGATGGTATGGGCACGTCCTAAGACGTCCATAGCAAAAACAAGTTACCCGTTGGAAGTCGATGGTAAAAGGCCTAGAGGCCGACCAAAAAGAAGGTGGATGGACACGCTTAACGAAGATCTGAAAGCGACGATACTCCACCCAGACCAAGCAGCCGACAGAACAAAATGGCGACAACGTTCCAGAAAAGCGGACCCCGCAACCGAGCCGGACAGACGGTGAAGAAGAAGAAGAAGATTTACTCACAAAGATTCTTCTGAGAGCTTTGAAACGTTAGCTCATTTTTCAGTTCGAGTTCACACGTCAGTTGCAATTTCAGGGGAATGAAAAGAAGGAATTTTTGCCGTCTTTTTGAAATTTTTTCAAGTTCCAACTGTTACATGTTCGATGAAAAGAACAAGGTTATGCTCAAAATTTATTCCATTGAAACAATATCGAAGCCCTCGTTGAATACCTACTTCCGGTACCAGGCTGAAAGTTTTTCCAACATTTTCCCTGAAAACTCGATTTTTTCTTACTTCGTGTCTCGATGACTCCGTTGGTAATGACAATATTCATATGATGATCGTCTATTTTAAGATCTTTAGCCTTCTCGCAAGTCCTGGAAACATTTTTTATGAGAAACTTTTAGATAATACATCTCCGGCTAGTCTGAACAGGGATGCACGAGACACGATTTCGTCTCGAGATTTTTCGAGATATCTCGAGACGACATCGTGTCTTCTCGGTCAAAAATTGGCAATATCGTTTCGTCTCGAGATGCAGAAGTAAATCCGTTTTCATCTCGAGACATTTCGAGATGAAAAAAAAACTTCTTTACGCAGAATGATAAAAATTGGGCGTCATATATGACGTTCCAGTCGTAATGGAACATTCCGGAAACGATCAAATTCAGAGCGCAGTTTTAGTTTTTGCGTAATAACTCTCAATAACGAGAATTATTTGCACATTTTTGATTCTCGGCCGTTTTCAGGTGTTATTTTGTTACAGAAGTTTGTATTTGTTTTCATTTCGAAATGTCTCGAACTCGTCTCGAGACTTTTTCTAAAAATTTCTTTGTCTCGATCTGGTCACGATCTTGCCTCGAGATCAAAAAACCTTGTCTCGTGCATAACTGATTCTCGAACAGACTTTTTCGGCAAAAAAAAAACCAACTTTATCGGGGTGTCGAGTTTGAAACCCGCAACTTCGATAGATTTAACGCTATTGTAGAAAGGTTCATGGTTTCCGACAAATTCCAATATTTTGTCGTTAAGGGTGACGTTGTAGCCGCCAGATTGAATGCTAAAATTAATATTTTCATTGAGTAATAAAATATACAAATATTTATTTTGCAGTGTTAGCAAAGAAGCATAATGAACTAACTCGATAGTCAGCTTGAACCTCTTCCCTTCGACGAAATTCTGGAAGTATGGTCCGTCCCGGGATTGACTATAACCCCACAAATAATATTTGTTCTGAAACTAAGCTTTCAGAGCAGCTCGAATCGAAAACAAAAAAAAATTATCGTGAGAAAAAGCATAGGAACTATGATTGTTTCTCAGTGTCAAAAAAAATGTCGTTCGTTATTTTCTCACCCGAGATTTTGAAGCAAATTCGTTATGATGATTTTTTTCGTGAAGCAACTGGTAAGATATATCGGATCCGTTCTGCTTCTCTCTAGGTTCGCCTGAGAACAGAGTGATATTGCGCCTGATGAATCAATTTTCAAATAGAATTTTCCTGAGCTCACTTCAAGAATTCATCCGTTGGGGTCGCGTAGATTGTGATTTGGTCGCCCACATGTAGGTATCGTTCAAAGGTCGCGAATCCAACTCCTTTCGATCTAACCTCCTAAAAAATTTATTTTTTTTTCAACGAACTTGGAAAAATGAAGTTTTTATTCAGTCTTCGAGATTAATCAGTTGTTTTAAAAAACTTTTTATTGCATCTTCAATGTAAGAATACATGTGCAATCGACTTTCATTGGTTGAACTGTGTTTAAAAGGCGACAGGAGCTGTGGCTTAGGCAGAGAACTTGTGAATTTCGCTCGTAGAACATCAGGTACAAGAGAGGTCAGTTGGACAAAGTTCAACTTTTTTTTTGAAGAGAATTCAATTTTTCTGGAAATTACTGAAATTGCGTTGACTTTTATTTGTAACACCCTGATAAAACTTCAACTGGCAGAAAAAAATACGCAGCTTGGAAATTTTCAAAAAGATCGAGCACCTTACAATCAAATTGGGAGCGGTATTAGACTAGCGTAGAATTCCTTTTCTGAATTTCTACGATGGGCTGATAGTTATTGGGAAATCTATCGCCGTGATAATCTTTAACTGACAAAGAACCAACCAATGGCTTGCAAGAATAACCGTCGGCGTAAACCAGCGGGAGAAGGCTGAAGGCTGTCACCAGCCCCAAGACGAACATCTCAGAGGAATGAGGAAAAATTTTGGTGTTGTGAAATAAAAAAAAAAACGAATCCCCGCCTATTGCCATAAAAACTTTTGAAACAAGCGATTTATGGTAGTTTTTACGATTCAAATTGTCTTTCTTATGGGTCTAACGTGGAAGGTTTTACAATTGAAAAATTCACTTCAAGCAGTTTACAGATTTCTCGAAAACAGAGAAATTGTGCAGGTTGAAATCTTCAGGATCTTTTTGTAGGCAATCAGTAAGAGCTATGGCAAATTTTCAAGGACTACTCAACCCCTCGAAGCGAACTCACTTTTGAGAGAAATGCGCGTTTTTCTGTAACAATTCCATCAAACGAAACCAGAATCGGGAGGAAAACTACCCGACTTATCACACCCTGAAACAGTTCTACCTATCTCATAAATGGTATACGGTTATTCTTCTCAAAAAGTAGAAAATTTCTTTAATCTTTCCCCATGTTTAGAATTTTTATATTTAATCTTCAGCCAACTCAGTCCTGGAAAAATTTTCATCAGATCTTTTTTCCCAGTTATTACTTTTTGATTTAGATCTTTTTGAACAGACTTTTTGATGAAAAATACGAGAGTCATGGTCCTTTACAGTTACTACGATTTCTTGCACAACACTTTTTTCACTTTAAAATGTTTCACAAATTTCCCGTGATTAAAAAAAGCTCTATGGCTCCATGCACTTAAAATTTTTTGTTCAAGTTTCAAAATTAACACACGTTCTCCGAGAGAATCGAAATGAAAAAAAAGTGGGCACAAAAAATTCATGTTCCTTTTTGAGCTTATATTTTCAACACCTCAACTACAAAAGTATACAAAACTTTTAAACAAGGTTTTGTCAAGCTCTGCCCCTTTTGAGGATTAATGTAGCCGAAATACGAAAAAAATAAAGTGAGAGGTATGATAAAACGCCAAAAGAAAAAAATTTTTCGTACATCGCATATCTCAGAGAATGTGGGTTAAAGTTTTTTTATTCCTGCTGAGAGAACGACATTTCGCTAACATGATTTTATTGCTTAACAGAAAATACGAACAATTGCGGGCAGTCACATCAATAAGAGTCTGAAAAAAGTTCTTTTACTTAAGAAAATGAATAGTTTCTCACATCTGGTTTGGACGGTATGTCTGTAAATGGTAACATGCATTTTGCCGCTCTGTTGCGGTCTCGAACGATTATTTTTCTTGCAACCTCTGAATATGATTATCTTTCAAAGATATAAGCTCAATGTGAAAAAATAACAATAGGGTGAAATTAACTTCTAACGACTCAAAACAGCCTATTTTTTATGGATTTTGAGGGTTTCCTTTGACTTAGAGGCGTCTTTTCTCAAAAACGAGAAAGTGGCGCAGGTTAGGGCTTTCAGAATCTTCTTCTGGTACATCAAGGAGCGTTCTGACCGATTTTCAGCAAAATATCATCTGGAAAGTAAAATGATCTTACTTGTCAGATAAATACGCTTTTATATTCATTTTTTTAAATCTCTTTTTCAGAATGTATTTCCTTATATAACTCTCAAAATATGTTTAAAAACCTGAAACCACGGTTGAATTAAAATAAAAACGAACCTGCGTTTGTCGTCGAGTTTTATACCAACTAGGAGTAAGGATTTAACCGAAGTGTAGGGCGGGTTACGGTTGTGAAATTTGTAAATGAATCTGCCGTCTACATAGATTTTGTAGGCGTGCTCTGTGATTCTGGAAACACATTATTCTTTACGAAACTACAAGAGTCATAAAACTAAAGAGGGATTTTTTCGACAAGTTTACTTCAAGACTCACTCGATGCGCAACTTGAAGCTCTTCTCTTTCATTATGGGATTCAGCACCTTTTCTAGGCGACTGTAGTCCCAACCGTTCTGAAAGAAAATAGTGGAGAAAATTATGTTACATAAATGAAATTTACTCCCTCATTTCGTAGAAAAACATCGTGTTGTTTCCAAACAACTGAAAAACTCTTACCAGGAATGAGCCCATAATGAGTGCGTTCTCTGAGAATCGTGGGTTTATATGAAGAGCTATGGGAGTACTGTCGAACACTGGGCGGTCGCCCTGGTAGAGATTTACAGTCAAAGTGGAAAGAAAATTAAAATTCAGCCTTCTGTTTCGAAAGACTGGTCGCACGAGCTCTAACAAAAGTTGCGGTGCACATCCCGTTGAGCTCTTGGTGCACCCCGTAGTGTAACCACGAGTGTAAGTCGTTTAGCTTCAAATGCATATTAAGGTACTTATTACGTACGCGGGGTGCACCAAAAACATCAACGAAAAATTCTTTTTTTTTTTCGAAGTTTACTGCGGGGCAAATGCTTATTTTTGTTAGACAGGAATGGCTCGACGTGTCGCAAAATTTACGCATTCCAGAGCAAGATTTGGAATTTCGAATCTATCGCGACGCTTTTTCACACACTGCTTCAAGTCGTTGCGAATTGATTATTTCGTTATATTCTGTTCATTAACCGCTCGAAAGCCGGATTCGGGCGGCCGTAGACTGTAATCGTGTCGCCAGCTTTAAGGCAACGCTCAAACGGAGCATATTCGAGTCCTGTCGCCTCACGTTTCTGAAAAAAAGTGGTTATTACTAACATAAAAACCACATTCATGAAAACTTCTTCTGAAAAAGAGTGAAGTGTTAGGTGTAGACATTTCTCATAAATAAAATCTAAACCAACCGATTTTGATCAGAACGAAAACCTGTACTCGCATGCGTAAGTTTTGAAAAAAATTAGAAAAATTTTGCTCAATTTGAATACGCAAATATTGGCCATAGCCTTCGGAAAGATTTTAAAGATCAGCAAAATCGGGCAAAAGAGAGAGAGATCAGACTAGGTCCGAGAAGGGGCCAGAGAAGTGAGAGGAGGTATATTCCTCTAATGCCTTTTCAAACCGCCTCGTGTCTCGACTCAATCACTTTGCTTTTTTTCTAAGCGATTTCGTTTCCATCTTTTTTTATATTAAAAAAAGAACGAACTGTTTGGTAACAGCTGGAATCACCACCGTAGACTAGCGAAAAAAGACAGAAAACTGAAACGGCCTTCAAGAAAGCCATCATAAAAGAATGACAAAATTTCGTTGCCTTGTGGGGCAAACTTATTTTTTCCACAAGAAAAATGCAGCAACATCTTTTTTATTGATGTTTTATTCTTCAATCTAATGTTTATGTCACTTCAAAAACCTTGAAATGAAAGCCCCTTTTCCAAGCTCCGACGTCGATCCACTAACAGCAAGAAAATGAAAGGTTTATCAGAAAGTGTAATTTGTTGGAATTGTACAAAAAAATGATATAAACAAATTAATATAGATATTGATTTTTCAGGAGTTTTTTTCGGCCTTAAAATTCCTCTCCAAGTCTTAAAAACTTTTTTTGCAGCGGAAAACAGTTTATTAACGTATTTTATTATCCCACGGAAAAAAAATTACTGGTGCCGGAAGCCACATCACGAGAAGTCTGAAAAAAGTTAGTTGACAAACAGGAAATGAAGAGATGCTCACAATTGGTTTGGACAATGTTGTTGGAAATGGTAACGTTCATTCTGTCGTTCGATCTTATTCGAGAAAGGTGATCACGTCCACAATATCTTGAAATAATTCGGTTCAAAAAAAAAGCAAAAAAAAAACAGAGGAGCCATTTTTTGAACAAATTCATATAGTCCGTTTTTCGTGTCTTCTCTGCGCCCTCCTCGTCTCTCGACGACCCTCTCTAGTTGACGCGCTATTTTCACGTTTCTTTGACCTTGCCGGTGAGGGAACAGAGGGACTTAGACACTTGAAAACCATTCGGTCGCGGTGCATGGACTATGAAAAAAAAAAAATGCAAAACGCATCTCGGCAGCCTGGGGCTGGGCCTGTTGGAAGAGTGCCCCCCCGCTCTACTTTTGAAAAAACTAGAATCGCTAAATAAAAAAAACACTAACGTTAGCGGACCATTGAGCTGCATACGGTCCATGAGTAGCGATTTAACTGCACTGTAGGACGGGTTACGGTGTGCGAAACTGTAGATATATCGGTCATCCACATAAATTAGGTAGGCTTGCTCTGTGACGCTGAAACTCTTTTTATTTCAATTTTTTTTGAACATTTTTTCGAGCGTTTGCGGTTTTCGCAACTTGAGGTGCGTCCTAGAGTCAGCGATTTCCAACCGCAATGCACAGAGAAATTCCACGATTATTGATTTAGGGTCATTATTTCCAACTTTTTATTTTGGAAGAAGTCGTCTGATCAAAAAACTATTCACAGGTATGACAGGAATAAGTTAATTTTTTTAAAATTGAAATTGAAAGATGCGCTTCAGTTTTTCAAGCAAAAAGTATTTAGTATATAACTCAAATTTTCCGCAAACCGACCGATTTGAATAGTTTGCCACATAACTCTTCTTAAAAACTTACTCGATGCGCATCTTGAAGCTGTTTGTCCCACTTATAGGATTAAACGCGTATTCAGAATGGACCCAGCGAAGGTTCTAAAGTTTTTTTTTTAGCAAAACTGAATTTTTAATAAAATTCAACTTCAACCCCCTTTTTTCTTGATTTTGCGAAAAGGAGGGATAAAATATAGTCTGTTCATATTTTTAATGTCAAGTGCAATGACGTCATTCAAAAACACTCTGTGAGTGGCTCGCTCTCTGATTGGTTTATCGCACCGTTAGGGGCGAAGCTTGAGCATTGACTTGACATTCAAAATCTGAACAGACTATAAGCCTGAGAACATGTTCCTGAGCGCTTACCAGGAAGGAATCGAATGACAATAGATTCATATAATAATTGGGCATTATCATTATAGCTATGTTAGTTTTATCAGAAATTAGACAGTCGCCTTCGTAGAGACAGACAGAAGACCTGAACAATCGTCAGTTTGATTTTTTCACTTCATCTTGATCGTGGTCGCGTAGGGAATGGCTCAACAAGTTGCAGTCGCAAAAAAAACTTCTGCAAGCAGCGCAACTGCATCAAGCCATTCCAAATGCGGCATTTTTATTTAAATAAACAAAGAGAAGCCCGGTTTGACGAAAGCGTAGACTGTGATGGTGTCTCCGACCCTGAGATATCGATCAAACGAAGCGTATACGTACCCATCCGAAGTGTTTTCCTAAAAAAATTATTTGAATTTCATCTCAACGCTAGCCCAGCAATTGATCTTTGAAGTAAGTGGGATAAACTATATTATGAAGCTTTAAGTCCGATGGCTCATTTCTAACTGCCGCTCATTTTGAATCGAGAGTAAGAGAATTACCGTTTCGTAACAAACTGAACCACGCCCATGTACAAGTGACGCCAAGCTCAGAGCTAGAATCACCTTGACGAGATACATCGCGGAGAAATGGCAAAAAATTGTTGAATTTTCTGTTTAGTGTCCATTTTTATTGATCATTTTTTAATGGTCTCATCGTTTGGTTTCGTGCTGGAAATGAATAAAAAACTTTTGTCGTCTTTAACTTTAATAGATCCATGAAAAGTTCGACCAATAAAAAATAGTGTGCTCTCATCATCATCAATCTTTATTGGTTGTTTTAGCCAGATGCAATTGACTAGACGGTGAAAATTTGCTCTTTTGAGCGTCAATAACACCGCCTATAGCGAAAAAGAAGTCAAAACGGGTAGTTGATTGAACTGAGAGCATGGTATTACGGTCTTTCGTATCGTTCTTCCACAAGTAGATCCCTCAGTTTCGCGGGTACGGGCACGGCGATGATGGTGGGGCTCGGGCACGGACGCCGTATACACCCTAGGGCAGCCTCGGTCGATTGAGAGAGCTACCACTTCCAGTGAGGAAAATAAACGGAGTCTCGAGAGTCTTTTTAAAATCTTAAGATCCGCGCTATCATGAACGGTCTCAGCAACTTGCAAAAAAGAGCGAAAGCAATGAAATAAACATTTTAGGTTTGTAAAACTTTTTTAAATGGCTTCTGAGCTCCTAAACCATGAGACAATGAATTTTCAATCTTGAAGAAAGCAATAAAACTAATTTCCCATCTCAAGTCTTCGCGAAAAAGGACTTTAAGAGTATACCAAACCATTTTTGTAAAAAAAAGCAATGACTAATTTAAAACAAAATAATTAGGGCTGAGCCGGGGATTGATCCCGGGACCTCTCGCACCCTAAGCGAGAATCATACCACTAGACCACTCAGCCGGCGACAAGCGGACGCCTTTCAAAACAATAGGATTGCACCTTTCTGATGATTCCGCTTTTTGTTATCATTTTGATACATTTTTTGAACTTATTCAGCCAACGATGTGATATTCGACGTACGCTTTTACCCCATTTTTAACTCAGAAAAAAAAACTCGAAAACTTTCATGTTTTCGAATATGCCAAAGATCCTCGCGAAATTTTTCAAACTACACTGAACATGTGCAAATTGTGACTTTTCGTTTCCCTGGCGACATTTATGCCAAGAAAACCTAGTATTTATAAAACTTTCCGCTAATAACTTCTGGTAATTCTTTAAAATGTGGATAGGGGATAGATTCGTGGACACCACCATATTTAAATCTAAAATGGAAGCTTTTGGCAACATTTATCCTCTGTGTGGTATATTTATTCACTGTTTCGAACTTTACCTCATTGTTTGGAAAACTCCGAAGTTCGTTCAGTCGAAGATCCCTCAGGCCATCAGAGCGGTTTGCTTTTTTTTTTCCAAAATAGGGAATGAGACATTTTCGACTTTCTCATTTGAACTTTGATTTTGTTAGGTGTACAAGTTCTAATGCAGGTTCTTGCGATTCCTGTCGATTTCATGACTCAAGATAGCGGAATGGGATTCATATTCATCCAAGGATTGGGAGACAACTGGATGAATGAAAATTTGACGGTACTCAGCGAAGAAAGCTATACCTATAAGGGCCGGGATCAGTTTGTACGTTTTTTTTAAATAAAAAAACAAGACTCGAATAAAAACGAGAAAAATTTCTCCTTCTAAAAGGGATGCATAATTTTTTACAGACAGGACTAGTCTTATTAAGTCCATTAGTATTTGGCGCGATTCTCCACGTACAGTATGCCAATCTTCTTTGCGTGACCCTCGAGGCATTCAAAATACCATTATGGAAATATCGGCTGTACGTTGGTCTCATCTACTTTTTCTCCATTTGTTCAGGACTTTTATTCACAGCTCCCGTAAGTGATCCCTTTGATAAATAGAAAAATCAACTTTTCAGACCGCCAATGATGTACAGCTTTCAGTTCGGATATTCTGCTTGATCATTCAATATCTTTATAGTATCATCTATTGTAAGACGAGTTTATTTTATTGCTTTAATCAATAGTTTTACATTTTGAGTTGGTTTAACGCTAAAGTTTTCAATCGAGATTTGGGAAAGCTTCAGTCCTTGGAAAGGCGTCAATGTTTCTGAAAATACGCGGAAAACGCAGAGGAAGATTTTCCTGGCTATACAGGTTCAGGTGATGAGAATTTCCTTAGATCATAATTTTATGATGAGAGGGGCGCACCGTAGCGCAACAGGTTGTGTGCCTGTCTACGGTCCGAAGGGTCACAAGTTCGATCTCCGCCACGACCCAACCAAGGGGTTTAAGAAATGTAGTGGGAAACCACGGCTTCATAATCCCCAGCCGTCACACACAAGGACGGATATGTCTCTGGAGCCAGTCCACTGATATCAGGATAGGACCTCGGCTAATCGGCTTGGGACGCCGACGCCGCTCAAGCGTTACAAAGGCGTAGGAAGAAGAAGAAGTTAATTTTTTAATGAGAAAATGATTTTTTTTATATCACTCGAGCCCAAAGAGGTCAGAACATTGTTCTCACTCAGGAAAGATTTTTTTAGAGTTATTCATAGTTTCGACTCTCAGCGAGTTCAAAGCTGAAAAAGTGAGTTTTCAGACTCTAGTCCCATTCTTGGCTCTAATTATCCCTTCTTCATACGCCATTCTTCTTCTCTCGGAAAGAGCGAAGCCAAATCCAACACTTTGCAATATCAGCTGCGTCCTGTGTTTTTTACACTTACCAATTTCAATCTCTGTACTCGTTTTCACACATAAAAATCATCGAGAATGGTTTATGAAAAAAATTTCGACCTTCTCAAAGCGTTAGTTTTTATTGCAATCTCGCAATAATATGATAAATCTTCTCAGGCACCCGTTCAGGTAAATCAACCCGAGAAGATGCGGCTGTTGTTACCGTTATAACCTGAAAGACGTTTTTGAACGAAGCTTTTGCATTCAAGATCCCGTCTACAACTGTTACATGTTCGATGAAAAGAACAAGGTTATGCTCAAAATTTATTCCAACGAAACAATATCGAAGCCCTCGTTGAACACCTACTTCCGGTACCTGGCTGAAAGTTTTTCCAACATTTTCCTTGAAAATTCGGTTATTTCTTACTTCGGGTTTCGACGACTCCGCTGGAAATAACAATATCCATGTCATTCTCGTTTACTTTAAGATCTTTAGCTTTCTCGCAAGTCCTGAAAATGTTTTCATGACAAATTTTCAGTTATTACTCAGTCCATTCCGGAAACAGATTTCTTCATAAATATTGAGAAATTCTTACTTTGTTGGGCTGTCAAGCTTGAAACCAACCACAGCAATCGATTTGACGCTGTCGTAGAAAGGCTCGCGGTTATTCAACGTCCAAAGCAGTTTATCATCACGAAAGATGTAGTAGCCGTCTTGTCTCACTCTAAAGCGAATTTTTTTTTCACTTTCGAAATTTTAAAAATTTTTAATCTCTTTGTTTCCCGAACACATCCGATCTAACTTTTCAACTCAGGGAGAGTTATCCAGTTGAAAATAAAAAAAGTTCGAGATAAAACTCACTTGATCGCCAACTTGAACTTCTTTCCTTCCACGAAATGACCAGAGTAAGTTCCACGATAACCAGCGCTTTCAGAACCATGCCTGCACTAAACGAGGCTTTCAGGATCAACCTAACTATGGAGTTACTCGGGCTCGGGGACGCGTATCAAGTTGAAACTACGGTGGCTTTTAGATCTGGTTAAGAACTCTATAATCTCTAGAGATTATCTCCTGGACCTCATGGGCTTCCGAGAAAAAGTTGCTTGAAGAAATCGAGGAAATTGACGTTTTTTTTTCTTAGATTTCGTTGAAATTTTTTTTCTGATTGCGTTCGGTAAGAGAAAGTAAATTGATAAGTTTATCAAATCATTTCAAATCTCGTTCTTATACAAAGTCCGAACCTCCTCAAAAATATTCAAACATGAGACAGGCTCGCCAGACCACCTCGGTGGTAGAGTACGATCCAGGCGCGTACAGGGCACTTTCTCAATTTCTTCGAGAAGCTTTTTCTCGGAAGATTTTGCGGTTAGCAGATAATCTTTCTTGATTCTAAAACTCTCACTCAGATCCAGAAACCATATATTTCAATTTGATACGCTCCCCCGAGCCGGAGTAGCTCCCCAGTAAATAAAAAAATTGAATAAAACATATATATTCTGTTTTTCGCGACTTGATAGGGCGAGACTTCTCTGCGCCCTCCTTATCTCTCGACCTCTTTCTCCTCTTTACGTGCTTTTTTCATGTCTCTCTGACCTCGCCGGTGAGGGAACAGATAGACGCAGGCACGCGAAAAATGTCAAGTCGCGGCGGGCGGACTATATGAAAAAATTTATTCTTTTAAAAATAACGGAAAGTCAGACTTTGATCAATATTTTGAAGTTTGAAAGCATTTTGCAATAAATATGGAATATTTTTCTCACCTTGCTCGAGTAATAAGTATAGTTTTGATTGTCTAAGCTATTGGAGCCTATTTCAAGAGAGTAGTAGGTGTTGTTGGTTTCTCGGTTCTCGCCTGGCAACAAATAAATTCTTCGCCTGACAAATCAATTCTTATGATATGCTCAAAATTTCGTAACCGACTTTTTGATGTCGCTAGTTGCGGTTGCGTAAATCGTGATGTTGTCCCCTCCTTCAAGGTGCCGCTCAAGAGTCGCAAATAGAACTCCTTTCGATCCTTGCTCCTTGAAATAATTCATTTAGGAGTTCTAAGATGAGCTGAGAGTTTTTGGGAAATCCAACACCGTTAAAAAAATCTATCGCTTTTAACTGACAAAGAACCAACCAATGGCTTGCAAGAATAACCGTCGGCGTAAACCAGCGGGAGAAGGCTGAAGGCTGTCACCAGCCCCAAGACGAACATCTCAGAGGAATGAGGAAAAGTTTTGGCGTTCTGAAAGGAGGAAACGAATCCCCGCCTATTGTCATAAAAACTTTTGAAACAAACAGTTTATAGAAGTTTTTACGATTCAAATCCCAATTTCCCTTTCCATGGGTCTAACGCGGAAGGTTTTGCTCAAGAAGAGTTTGATTTAAGAAATATCCTTTCGAATGTCGGTCTTTGAACCAGGAAAACTAGAGAAAATCATTCATTACGAATCGATTTGACATGAGAAAGATAGTAGGAACATTTTTTAAAGCTTCTTTTTTTGTGAAAAATTGAAAAAAACCTCACAAAGCCGGCAAAAATGATTTCTGCCAAAAGGATTCGAACTTTGGTAACAGTTTCGATAACGTTAGAGTACACCACTATACCACGCCGCCAGTTGTTAGACGGTGGCTCTGAGAACGAGGATGTAGGTTCTGGAAAAGTCTTGAAGGAATTTTATTTTCGATTCTAAGCACTTCACCCAGGCTCACAACGTCTCAATTCTTAACTCGTTCTTGAGCGGAAAAAAACTAGATACTTTAAAAATTTTAGCCTACGCTCTGAAGTTTTCATGACTGATAAGAGCTTTGTGGATAATAAACTTCCTGGAAGGAAACACCTCAAAACATTGTCTCAAAAGATAAATGAGAAATTTAAAGCAAAAGGTAAGGGCTGAGCCGGGGATTGATCCCGGGACCTCTCGCACCCTAAGCGAGAATCATACCACTAGACCACTCAGCCGCTGGCCATTCGTCCCGTTCTGGATGAATGTGTTCCACGTGCTTTCAAGCCTGTTACAGCGCCGATCGACGTGAAGCATCATTTCAATCTCAATCTGTCAAAGCCTAATGACATGACTTTTCTACAGAAAAAAATTTTTTTTTAATTGTCTTTCCTCGGAAAAAAACACTGCAAAAAATTTATTCGTTCTCTCGAATCAATAATATTCTCTGTTAACAAAAATAAATAACCACTCACAAGAAGAAAAAAAAATCCCCATAAAAATAAGGCACGTAAGGAGTTAAAAAGGAAATAAATAATAAGTTAAAAGAATCACAATAAATCAAAACAGAAGAAAAAAGGTAAGTAAATATTTCCAGAGCTTCTGTTTCACGGCGTTCTTTCTTTTCAATATCTTTTTGATTTTCGCCTGTGTTGGAAGCTGTGAATACTACTCCACTTTGAAATAAAAATCTCGGAAAATCTTCAATAATAATTGAAGCAAAAATTTCAACGAACAAAAAAACACCTAATTAATGATCATAATCAGTTTTTGGCATTTTCAACAGCGCCTCGTAGTCTACCTCGCCGTCGTCGCCAATTGGAACCGCTACCTGAGAAAAAAATGATTATTTGATTATGTGATGAAATTTGAAATAAAAACCAACTTTTTTTACCGCCGGTCATTTTTTTGAGCGCCATCTCGGCAAACCCGAGCTTGTCAGGATCATAACTTGTCACGCCACTGAAATCATCTTTTTTTCTTGGAATCATTTATTTTAAAAATATTAAGAAAGGGGAAAAAGCCACTAGAGCACTAAAAAAAGGAAAGAGAACATGCAAATTTAAATATTCTTATGGCAAATTCATTTCCAAATTCGGCTTTTATAAAAAGAAATCATAGCCTATTCAATTTTTTTGTTAGAAAAATCGAATACCGATTGAAAAAGTAATCAAGTATTTGTCTCATTATTCATTTTGCGCGATTCATCAGCCAATGAAATTGCTGAATATTTCTTAAAAATGATTATAGTATCGTGGGGAAAAAAATTCCTTATACAACAGGTGCAAAAAAAGGAACATCCATGCGCTCAGAAAAAAATATTTTTTTCAAGAAGCGTATATTTCTCTTTTTTTTTAGAAAAAAACACTTCTGTAAGTTAAAATGTTAGTTACATAAAAATTTGATGATTTGAAACCAAAAAATTAAAAAAACATCAAATCGTGACGCAAAATTGACATAAACTACAAAAAAATTTTTTTGTTTTTTTACACTGTAAATCTGAAAAAGAACCACGAATTTCTTTTACTATTTGATGAGAAAAAAATCTAAAAAAATCCGAAATGAGTACCGTAAAAATAATATATTCTCAATTAGTTACAAAATATCAGAGAAAAAATTGACTTCAGGGAAAGTTCCAGAATCCAAAACGCGGCCTACTTTCAAATCGTTGCGAGACCCATTAGCAAACAATTTCACCTATTGATGGGGGTACTTCCTACAGCATTGAAGGACCATTCTGGAATAATCCCTCAACTTAAAACATGTAATTAGTTACCATAAAGTACTTCATTTCTTTTAACACATCCAAAATTAAAAAAGGAACCCATAAAACACTTTATTCACTCGACAAAGACACAAAAAGAGGACAAGAATCTCCCGCATGCAAAGTTAGTAAGAACAGAAAAGTGAATAAACGGACAAAAACCCACATTTCTGAATTTCGACTGCAATCCGACGTTGTTGAACGAGAAAAAGTACAATACACGAATAAATAACATACAAACAGAAAGAACGGTACGGAGTTATGTGTTAGGAAAACGTTCAAAGTTGTTTCTCCAACCAATCGGCACCCACCACCATCCGCGGTTTCTCCGGCGCTATTTGACTGCTAGAATGTTCTTTTTTTAATATATTGGAAAGAATAGTTTTTCCGGTGAACCATTGATAATTCTAGGAAGCTTTGCTGTAATTTCCTTTGAAATGAAGGCATTTTCTCGCCGACTGGTCACTTGACTTTTTCAAAAAATGTATAACTTCTGTGCAGTTTTCGCTTTGAGCTCAGTGTCTTTTGAAGCGTTTGAAAGCGCAAACGGTGGTAAGAAAAAAAGACCTGCGAAAATTCAAACGACGACTTTTCCGATTTTTTCATATCGCTAGGGAACTTTCCGACGGCCACCTTTCCGACGGATCTCTTTCCGACTTTTTTCCCTTATATTTTTCGGTTTATAAAACATCTATAAATATTTTTTTTCCTATTTCTTTGTGTTTTAATCATGAACCAACTACCTACTTAATATAGGGAGATTTTAAACGAAGATTTATCGAGAAAAAAAAGTCGGAAAAAGAATCGGCGGAAAGGTGGCCGTCGGAAAGTTCCCTAGCGATATGAAAAAATCGGAAAAGTCGCCGTTTGAATTTTCGCTGGTGTTTTTTTCATACCACCGCGCAAACAGCGAAAAGCAATATTACGGAAACTCCAAAAATCAAACCACAAGTGAGAAAATTTTTTCTCGTTTAAACATGATGTTTCTGAGATTCTACTGTTCAAAAATACCGTTTTGGGTTTTTTTTAAAGAGTCAGAAGCTTAGAAATCGTATATTTTTTTATCTTCGAAAAAAATAATGACTTTTTTCATTTCTTCTTTTTTTCCCACTAAATGATCACTTAATGAGTGGCATTTTCACGGTGTATCACTGTACTTTCTGTTATTGATGCAGAGAAAAAAATTAAAAATGATTTTTTTCCTTGAAAAAGTTCTATCAAGAAAGATAGAAAAAAACGTGGCTCAGTAGGAACTCAATCTTCCTGGAACTTTCCGGAGTTGTAATGACTTTTATTTGAACTACAGTGGTAGAACTTCAGTTCTCAAAAAACGAAGCTCAGAAATTTTCAGAAAAAAAAGTTGTCAACAAACATTTTTCGTATCTTTTCTGACGGTAGATCATAGAAATCATTGAAAAATGAGAAATTCTTTTCAAAACTCCCTCCTGGATCGTCAATAAAAGCGACGAACCTTGTGAGCCACCACATGATCAGTGGCTGGGAAACGACGACGAACAGAACGAGCATCAGCTTTCGTTTTTTGGCTTCTTGATCGCCTGGGAACGAAGGACCTTGCAGGATGATTTGTGACACGGATCGAAGCTGAAAATGAAGGGAATACTTAGGCATTACAAAAGGGTTTCCATAGGGTTTAGGAGCCGAAAAAGCAGTTCCTAATAGAGGTGAAATCCAGGTGGTCCCTATAAGAGATTTAGGGTCTGACCCCTCAGCCCCTAAATATTAAGTGATTCCTTTAGGGGTCTTTCAACTTCATTTTCGAAAAAACGCTTATTCATTTAATTTTTCTCATGGAAATGCTTCTTCTCATAGAGTACATAAATTGTATCGATTAGCATATCCCCATGCAGGGGCCACTAACTAAAACCCCTATATGCACCACTTTTGCAAGCTTTAGTGGCCCCTATAGGGGTTGAGAAAGCCCCTTAAGTTATCCCTAGAGCGGCCACTCTGGAGTTCCCGAGTAAGCTGAAAAAAATCTTTTTCGTACACGAAATAATTAGAAAAAAAGTAGGCTAGTTAAAATTCCGCTTGAAAAACTGTTTTTTTAAAACACAGAAAAAAATTTCTAAACAAAATACATTTTTTTGCACAAGATTGAATCGATTTTATAAGAGCGAATGAGCTTGGAAATTGTCATTTCAAACCAAAATTATCAACTATTTCCGCGTTTCGAAACGAACTCTATTCAAAAAAGTTCAAAGTGAAGTTTTAAAAGGCCTAAAAATCTGTTTTTGCTCAAAAAGGTGCACTAAATTTCAAAAACCTTTCCAATTTCTTGAAAATTAATGAAGTTGTTTTTTCAGCATACTTCTCTTATAAAACACGAACTTCTCATTTTTAAATGGTGAAAAAACCATTTTATCAATAAAAATTTAGATAGGCCTTCAATTGAATCAAAGCGCTCGAAATGCCCCAAAAACTCACCAAAAATACAACGAGCATGAAGGACGTGTAGACCAGGGATCCGTAATAGAACATTTTCCCGCCTCCAATGAACATCAAAAGACAGAAAATCATTCTGGAAATCGCCGAATAATTCAAATAGCAAGAAATAAATGAACCCAGCAAATTTATACGTGCTGTAGGCGACCGAATGCCACACGGAAAGAGTCTAGAAATTATTTTCATTTTTTTTTCTCAAAAAAAATGGAAACCTGTGAGATATTCATGACGTATTTACTGAAGAAAATGACGATATTCTCGAGAATTATCCAGATCAGCGCGTTGGTTGTCAGAATCCCCAAGACTTCCGGGGAGAATCTGGAAATATTTTTCCTTATCGAAAAACTTGAAGGAAAAATTGTCGAGATAAAATCAAAAAAATGTTAATTTTCATTAATTTCGCCAGTTTTTTTCTCACAAAAATTATATTTAACATTTGATATAAAAACTTCTTTTTTTCAACTTTCTGAGAGAAAAACCTATTGAAATTAAGATTATTTCCGATTAAAAAAATCTTTTTTTTAACTATCTTATCTGGAAACTACCTGTAAAAATTTTTCACCCTACTCTCGATAAAAAAATAAAAATATGGGATTTTTATTAAAATATAGAGAGAACGTCTTTAAAAAAATCTTTACTATTTTTAAGATAAGTCATGAGTAATTCAAGAAGGAAAACGGATTCCGAGGTGTTTTTTTTTCACATTTTTTTTGAACTTTAACTTATTTTCTCACCTTCCCTGAGTTCCCAGAACGAATCCGGAGACCAGAATGTAGGTGAGGAAGGACATGAGAGGAATGTACAAGTCCGGCGCATTCACATCGTCTTTCGCTGGGTAAGGTTCCGTCGAACCGTAATACTTCAGAGACCAGTCCTATAAACGTTTGAAAATCGAAAATTTTAGGAAAAAAAACTTGCTTATTTGGAACTTTTTGAGTTGACGTGACAATTTGAGGAAAAAAAGGGGGCTCTTTCAAGTTTTGGAAATTTTGAAATTGATTTGTTCCAAAAAAACTTTGTTCAAAAATCTGTCTTTAATTAAAACCGATAAGTGTTTTAATGCAATTGGAAAATGGGCAGGAAGACGTTTTCAACGAAATTGTAACGGTTTCAATGAAAACTAGTGAAATCGAATGAAACCGGGAAAAAAATTGAGAATTTTCAGAAATTCGATTTTTTTCCCGAAAAAGTATGGATTTTCAAGCTGAAAAACTAAGTATTAATATTGTCACTATTCAGTATTCAAATCCTAAAAAAATCGACAAACCCTGTGGAAAAACGGGAAGAACATGATGAACAACTTCTTGCCGACGTAGGAGTTGTCCACGGCGAAGAAATATTTCAAGTTGAACGTTCCCAAGTACTTTGAAAGCTTAAAATGGAATTAAAATATGTTTTAATTCCCTCTCAACCTTTTCCTTCTGTTGTTCGGCAAATTGGCCGCCAAACTGTTGAGCGGCCATCAACATCGGGTCCGACATGAACTGTTGGGGTTGGAATCCGCCAAAATTCGCTAAATATATAACATTAATTTCCAGTGATTTTCAATAGTTTTCACCATTCTGATTGTAAGCAGGAGCTTGTGGAGCTGGAGCAAAACTCGGCGGATTGTTATAATTCTCGTTGAAAGGCTGAGGAGTCGCAGAAAAACCTTGATTTTGCTGCTGCGAGTAGTAATCGCCGCTAGAAATTCATATTCTCATCTCATAAATTTCCTATTTACTTGTTACCCGTAGGAATCAGTCCTTTGTGGAGCTGGATGATGTTGTTGTGGCTGTTGGGGTGGCGAATAGTTCGTTTTCCATTGGTCTGTGGAACCCCAATCGTTGCTCCATTCGTTCGACATGGCTCAAAGTTCAAAATATCAAAAAAAAAAATACATTGAAATTGCCAGAAAATGCTTGAAATAACAATATGATACACTAAACGCAAAAAATCCCCGCTAAATCAAAAAAAATAACATCGCAAAGTTCAGAGAAAATATATTTTTCACAACTTCTTCAAAAGTTTTCTTGATTTTTCTCGAACTATTTTTCAAATTCGTAATTATGATACTCTATGAGAGAAGTCTCCTATCTTCTAGCATACTGAAATATCAAAGCAAAAACACAGTTTCCAGAAAAAAAAAAGAAAAGAAAAGTTGCGAAAATTGCACTTTTTGGAAAGTTTACGTCGACGCAACTTTCTGCAAACACACCGGCGCGCAACCGCATGATGCTACCGTAATCATTAATGCGATTCATTTTTGTTCAACTCTTAATTACTTTCATTAGTTTTTCCACATAAGGAAGAGAAATTAAAAGTTAGAAAACTCAATGATTAAACAACTTGAGGCTGCAAAATTATTTGATGAGGTCATGAAAAAAACTTTTTCCAGAAACTATCTAGGAGAAATATTGAATAAGAAGATGAATGGATGAGCACCCAAATGTTTTCAGAGCGTCCGACCAAATTGAATAATTTTTTTTGGACGCGCACGCAGCGACCCAAAACGTCTTTTCTTCGCAGCGGGAAATTTTTCTGAAACATTAAATCAGTTTTTCGATTTGTTTCAATTTGAAATTTATCTGTTCACTTTGTTTGCGAATGCTTTTTGCGCCAATAATTGGCTCGAAGCTCGGAAAGAAGAGGGCTTTTTATCGGTTGGTAACGTAGGACATCCGCTTTTCTAATGGCCTTTTACGGCCGAGTGTTTTGGCTCAATTCTAACGATTTTCGCTTTGAATTTCAAAATACTTCCTCATCTTCAGATTGAAATCAAGAGTGACGTGCATTTCAAACAGTTAATTTCACCTTGAAAACTCAATTACAAGCTTGAGAAAAGTTAAATTATATCCTCTCTTCGATAGGAACTTCAGCCTATAGTGTATTCAGAACAAAGTTCAATCTTTGAAAAAAGATTTTTTTTTTTTGAATAAACTCTAGCTCGGCCGCTGAAGTTCAAAAGGATTTAATTTTCGAGACGAATAAATTAACTCAAAAAGTGGGATTTTGCGAACTGGTCTTCATAAATCAAACGTCATAAAGTCTCAAGTCTAAACTTCATTTCACAGAGATCTCTTGAATCGATCTCGAACGCAGGAAAAATCCATTTTTTTCATCAGCCTTTTCTCAAAAATTTATGTTCGAAGCATTCCATTTATAAATTTGAAGAAAAATGAGAAATTTTTGAAATTTTGGCTCTTGTTTGGTTCCAAACCGAACGCCGTTTGCTCCTGATTCTATTTGAATATTTGAATATGCAACTTCTCCCATCTTTGACCGTTTTCAAAATGTTTTCAAATAAACTCTTCACTTGAAGGTATCAGAAATCTTCATTAACTTTGTTTTTATTTTCAAGATAAAATCTAAACATGTCTCTACGAATAAGATAATCACATTTAACTGCACGAGAGAACAAAAAAAAACTCTGTTTTACAGATAAACTAAACGAAACCTCAACTGTTCACGTGATTTGATTAAAGGAGCTAGTTGAAAAATATTCTTATGCAACAATAAATAAAACAGAAAAGAAAAAACTCACTTCGTTAAATAAAACTATTGGAAGAGAAGTTTAAAAAAAGAAAATGAATTTTCTCGTAAAAAAATACAGAGAAGAGTGATGGAGCGCCTTTTCTTTTGAACTGTTCAAAGATTTTCTAACCTCACGGTGTTCCGCGCAATGAAAAAAAATGCGAAATTTTGGGTCCCAGCGGCATATTATCCGTGGCGCATTATTGCGGCCTTCTCATCGTTTCTGATGCAAAAATTGAATTTCTTCACTTTTTTCATTGGTTTTTTACTTTTTTCTATTTCTTGCATTTATGTGATCCGCCTCTCTATGGGTACATCTTGTGGAGCTTTAAATTGCGCATTTTTTTCTAAAACCGGTTTCAGATCTTTTAACTTTTTTTTCTCAAAAGAGCTGAAGATTTTTTTCTAAAAGTCCTAATTTTTTTCAAAAATTTTTGAAATCTGTTTCGCGACATGAAAAATAATCGCTCTATTTCGGAAACTATAGTTTTTTTAATTTAATCAGTTAATAATAAAAAAAGTTATTATCTAGTTCCTTTGACGTAGTTTAAAAACCGGTTTCGCGTAAATTAGAGCCAAATTGAATTTGCTGATGCAGTTTAATGATTTTGATATATGCATCATCTAAATTATATATTTTTTTCTAGTTTTTTTGATGGTTTTTTTCAGATTTAAACAAAAAAATTTCGCCATACGAGGTTTTCTTTCTAAAAATTTCTGCTTTCTATCCATTATATGTTTTTTTCTGAAACTAGGTTTTTCGAGGTATATAAAATGTCATTTGCTCCTCGAATTTTCCTCATTTCAATATTTTTTTCGTATTTATAAATGCTTATTCAATGGGAGCTGATTCATTTTCATAATATTTTTTGTTTTTATTTTGTAATCAGTAATTTAGAGTTTTCCCTTTTCGAAATCGTTCCTAAATGTTTTTTTAACGTAAGTGAATGTTTTTTCACATCATATTCTTCAAAATGACAAATTTCGAACATTTCAGGAGCTATTATCCTGAAATCGCAAATTCTAAAATTGAAAAAAAGTATTTTGAGTATGCGATAGGGCGTCTCGGTGTGCTTACACTCTAAGCATCATTATTTACGAAAAGTCTTGACCTAGCGTAATAAAAAAAACACCGTGACCTTTTTTTCAAACTTTTCTCTTTTTTTTGTCACATTTTCTTCCTCGTATCGAAGTTACTCGGTATGCGATAGCGGATATCCAAGCAGTATTTACCAAGGTTTGTTCGTCTCAAATTCTCACACGCTAAATTTGCATGTAAAATTCTGTTTGCTAAATTTCCTGCTATTTTTCGAAATAACCTCAATTACGAATTCATTTCGTTCAATCCCTCTTCTCTGAGAAAAAAAAACTCTTTGCCAGACTCTTTTTTTTTCAAACTGTTTCCTCGTTTTATCGAATTTACTTTGCGGAAAAAAACCGCCTGAAATTACTTTGGTGAGTGGTCAAGCTGTAGTGCGCGGAAGTTGAAATTGAAAATTTCCAGGAACAAGTGTATATATTTTCTATACGTTTTATGCCCCCAGGGATGGCTTGGCACAAATTGAACCGTCTTTTCGTCGAAAATTCGAGGAGAATAACGCCGGCGGGCAGGTCTTTGCTGGCTATTTTCGGCGAATTTTCTTTTTTTCTCGCACGCCAGAACTTTTTGTGAAGTCTCAAGAGTCTAGACCTCTACTTAGTTGCTTCAGAAGTGTTTTTTCTCTACTTTGGTCAGTTTGGAGGAGGGAGAAAAGGTCAATTTTGAAGTGGGTAATGAAAATTTGTGAAAGGAGAAGGGTATTCTCAAATCCATAGCTCATCCTTGAAAATTTCAATATTATTATGAAATTATCTTTTTTTTCGTACTGGATAATGGTCGCTTAAAGGGAGAGGCTCAAAAAAGACCCCAAAAAGGCAGCAAGAAGGCACGAAAGAGAGTCCCTTTATCGAGCCTTCCATTTTTTCTGGGATTTTAAAGGCTCAAGAAAGGGTGAAAAAAGGGAGAGGCAGCAAAAATGGTGCATAAAAGGCGAAGAATTGGCGCAAAAAGGCACCAAAAAAGGAACATTTCTATGGGCCCTTTTTCCACCTTTTTCGTCTTTGCCTATGTTGGCTGGTCGTTTCGTGACCAAGTTCGGGCAAATCTTATTTGCAAAAAACCATCGTTGAACTTTCAAAAACTTCATAAACCCAAGAAAGTCTTTCAACCCTTTTTTGTCCACAAAAAAGACCAAAGATCAGCCCATTAACGCGTTTTATGACAAAAGAAACTTTTTTTGCAAGTATCCATGCATACTTTTGCACGTGGCAAAGTTCAGTGGAACATTTTTAATGGCACTGTTATGCATTTTTCAATAGGTGACGTTATTATGGGTAGCATTTAGAGCTTTTTTCTAGTCTTAAAAAAGGCTTTTCAAGTTACGGTAGTTCCCGAAAAAAAAAATCATGAGAACCTTTATTGTTTTTTATGAAATTCGTTTTAAAGCGATTCATTGTGGAAATTTCTATGGTGGAATACAAGGAAACATGAAATGAATATTATTTTTTTAAATAAAAGCATTTTTTTCAAACTTCAAAGTACGCTAATTTCAGACCTAACACATTTATTTACGACTTAAAAGCATTGTAGTTTTATTTTGTTCTGTTTGAAATGAGATTTTCGTAAATTAAAGACATCAGCTTCCCCAGAAAAACCAAAAAAAGATTTTAGTCGGAACAATCGTTTCGTCTTCTTCATGTCCACCCATTTAGGACTTCAAACGGGCTTAAAAAGCCATTTTTTCTAAGCTCCTTCCTTCAAACTATTTTCGTGTGGTCAGAACTTTTTTCTCTTGTCTTTTTTCTCAATTTCTGCTAGTAATATCCTCTAGAAATCAAATTAAGAATATTTTTTTGAATTCTTGGTGGAAAAAAATCAGGTCCGAGCATTTCTCTTATTTTATTTGATGGAGCCGGGATTTTTAATCACCCCAAAAACCTTTTTTTCGTGTTTTTCGTGATCCTATGGAGGACCATGGGAAGACAACAACGTGGGCCATTCAATTAGGGACCGTTTTTTTGGGAATTTTTTTTCTGCAAACGTAAGCTTCACTTTCAAGCTTGAATTTTGGGTTTTAAGGGTTAACGAATTAACTATATTTTTTCGAAATTTCGAAGTTTCTTTTTCCTCTGTGAAAATTGATGCCGCCAAATGGCTCTGTTTCTTCATTGCGTTGACTTAATTTTTTCAAAATATTCGAAAATTCAGATAGCTCCTTATCGATAAATAGAGAGCTTATACTCAATTTCCTACATCTCAATCATTTTTTTCTAACTTTTTGAATTATTCTGTTT